AATTCAAATTAGAGTGTTATGACATTAGAATGTTAAATGTTATCCCCATGGTAACCACAAAGAAAATAACTATAGAATATACACAAAAGGAAATGAGAAAGGGATTTAAATATTTCATTACAAAAAAATCAACTAAACACAAAAGAAGACAGTAATGTAGGAAATGAGGGACAAAAAAGCTATAAGGCATATAGAAAACCAATAGCACAGAGACAGAAGTAAGTCTCTCCTTGTCAGTAATTAACTGTATGTAAATGGATTAAACTTTCCAATCAAAAGACAGAGATTGGCAGAATGGATGAAAACACATGATCCAACTATATGCTGTCTATAAGAGACTCATTTTAAATCCAAAGATAAAACAGGTTAAAGTAAAAGGATAGAAAAAGATATTCCATGCAAACAGTAACCAAAACAGAGCAGGGGTGGCTAAACTAATATCTAACAAAATAGACTTTAAATCAAAGATGGTTACAAGAGACAAAGAATGACATTATATTTGACACAAGAAGAAGATATAACAATTAAAAATATTTATGCACCTCATGACAGACCATCAAAATATACGAAGGAAAACTAAAAGAATTAAAGGGAGAAGCAGACAGTTCTACAATAATAGTTGGAGACTTGAATACAGTCATGTGCCAGATAACAACATTTCAGCCAATGATGGAACATATATATGACAGTGGTCCGATAAGATCAGTACCATATAGCCTAGGTATGTAGTACGTGATACCACCTAGGTTTGTGTAAGTACATTATGTGATGTTCACACAACAACAAAATTGCCTAATGATGCATTTCTCAGAATGTCTCCCCATCATTAAGCAACACATGACTGTATCCCACCCACAATAATGGATAGAACAACCAAACAGAAGATAAGTACAAAAACAGAGGACTCAAACAATAATAAACCAACCAGATCTAATAAACATACAGAAAACTACCCAAGAACAACAGAATATGCATTCTTCTCAAGTGTACGTGGGACATTTTCCAGGATAGACCAAAAGTTAGGCCACAAATTAAAGAGATTTTATTTTATCTTATTTTCTCTCTTTTTTTTTTGAGGAAGATTAGCCCTGAGCTAACTACTGCCAATCCTCCTCTTTTTGCCGAGGAAGACTGGCCCTGAGCTAACATCCATGCCCATCTTCCTCTACTTTATACGTGGGATGCCTACCACAGCATGGCATGCCAAGCGGTGCCACGTCCGCACCCAAAATCCAAACCAGTGAACCCCGGGCCACCGAGAAGTGGAATGTGTGCACTTAACTACTGTGCCACCGGGCCAGCCTCAGATGATATGATCTTGTATGTAGAAAACTCTAAAGATTCCACAAAAAAACTGCTAGAATTTTTTGAATTCAGCAAAGTAAGGATATAACATCAACACACAAAAATCAGTTTCATTTCTACACATGAACAATCTGAAAAGGAAATTTCCAAAAACAATTCTAGGGGCTGGCCCCATGGCCAAGTGGTTAAGTTCGCGTGCTCTGCTGCAGGCGGCCCAGTGTTTCGTTGGTTCGAATCCTGGGCACAGACATGGCAGTGCTCATCAAACCACGCTGAGGCAGCATCCCACATGCCACAACTAGAAGGACCCACAACGAAGAATATACAACTATGTACCAGGGGGTTTTGGGGAGAAAAAGGAAAAAAATAAAATCTTTAAAAAAAAAAACAATTCTATTTGCAAGAGCATCAAAAAGAGTAAAATACTTAGGAATTAACTTTACCAAGGAGGTGAAAGATTTGTACAATGAAAACTACAAAACATTGCTGAAAGAAATTTAAAAAGACAAATAAATGAAAACACATCTTATTTTCACGGATTGGAAGATTTAATATATGAAGATGTCAATACTACTCAAAGTGATCTACAGATTCAATGCAATCCCTATCAAAGTCCCAAAGACATTGTTTTGAGAAACAGAAAAATCCACTCTAAAATTCTTATGTAATCTCAACGGACACTGCATAGCTAAAACAATCTTGAAAAAAGAACAAAACTAGAGGACGCACATTTCCTGATTTCAAAATTTAATACAAAGCTACAGTAATCAAAATAGTGTGGTATGGGCATAAAGACAGACAGGCAGACCAAGAGAACAGAATAGTGAGCCCAAAAATAAACCCTTGTGGATGTGGCCAAATGATTTTTGACAAGGGTGTCAAGACCATCTGATGGGGAAAGGACACTTTTTTCAATAAATGGTGCTAGAAAACTGCATGTCCACATGCAGAAAAATGAAGCTGGACCCTTACCTAACACCACACACAAAAATTAACTCAAAATGGATCAAGGACCTAAATGTAAGACCTAAAACAATAAAACTCTTAGAAGAAAAACACAGGACAAAAGCTTCATCACATTGGATTTGGCAATGATTTCTTGGATATGACACCAAAGGCACAGGGAACAAAAGAAAAAGTAGAAAAATTGAACTTCATGAAAATGTTTAAAAATTATGCATCAAAAGACACTATCAACAGAATAGAAAGGCAACACAAAGAATGGGAGAAAATATTTGAAAATCATATATATGAGTAGGGATTAACATCCAGAATATATAGAGAACTCCTAAAATTCAACAAGAAAAAACAAACAACTGGATTCAAAAATGGGCAAAGGACTTAAATAGACATTTTTCCAAAGAAGATATACAAATGGCCAATAAACACATGAAAAGATTCTCAACATCACTAATCATTAATGAAATGCAAATCAAAACTACAATGAGATACCAACTCACACTCATTAGGATGACTACTACCAAAAAAACAGAAAAAACAAGTACTGACAGGATGTGGAGAAATTGGAATAACTTGTGCACTGTTGGTGGGAACATAAAATGATGCAGTGGTTTCTCAGTTTGGTTTTACCAAACCACAGTATGGTGGTTTCTCAAAAAACTGAAAACAGAATTACCATAAGTTCTAGCAATTATTTCTGGGTATATAACCAAAAGGATTGAAAGCAGGATCTCAAAGAGATATTTGTACATTCATTTTTATAGTAGCATTATTCACAATAGTTAAAACATGGAAGCAAGCCAAATTGCTTGTATCCGTCGACAGATGAATGGATAAGCAAAATGTGGTATATACACACAATGGAGGATTATTCAGCCTCAAAAACGAAGGAAATTCTGACAACATGCAACAACATAGATGAATCTTGAGGACATTATGCTAAATGAAATAAGCCAGTCACAAAAAGACAATCACTGTATGATTCAACTTATATGAGGTACTTAGAGTAGTCCAAATCATAGGGGAGTTATTATTTAATGGGTATAGAGTTTCAATTTTACAAGATGAAAACAGTTATGGGGATGGATGGGTGGTGATGGTTACACAACAATGTGAATGTATTTAATACCACTGTACTGTGTAATTGGAAATAGTTAAGACAGTAAATTTTATGTTGTGTCTTTTATCACAATAAATTTAAAAGATTTGCAGTGTTCACTGTATGTAATTTCTTTCTCACATAAAAAGAAAAAGTCAGTTCCAGGTACGTTGTAAACCTAAATGCAAAGGCTAATGAAAATAGCTTTCAAACATAACACATGAGAATACTTCATGAGCTTGAAGTAAGGAAAGATTTCTTGAACAGGATGCACAAAACACTAACCATAAAGAAAAAGATTAATAAATTGCACTAAGTTAAAAATTACTGTACTTTTTGTTCATCAAAAAAACGTCATTAGGAAAGTAAAAAGGTAAGACAAAGAGGGAGAAGGTATATGTAACAGGTTTGTAACAAGAATATATCAAGATGCCCCAATAAGAGAAAGACAAAACCCTCAATACAAAAATGGGTTAAAAACTTGAGCAAATCCTTTACCAAAGAGAAACTCCTAATAGCTAATGATGATAAGAAAAGCTATTCAGTCTCACTAGTAATCAGGAAAATATAAACCAAAATCATAATGAGATACCATCATGTCCTCACCAAAGTGGCTACTATTAAAAGTCTGAGGTACCCGTGCAGGTGAGGATGTGAAATGACAGGTCCCTGTATGCACTTCTGGTAAGTGCACCTTTGGAAAGCAATTCAGTGTTACTTAATAAAGCTAAGCAATACCATCCCTGTGCTGCAGCAGCCCCATTCTGCCTTACACCCCAGAGAAGCACATGCCCAGGGGCCCAGGAAACATGCTCAAGAGTGGAGCATGGTTTGTAATGACTGCGAAATGGAAACAACTCAGATGCCTATCAGCAGTGGGCTAGAGTCATGCAATGGAAGACTACAGCACCAAGTGACATAAGTGAAGCTGAGATACAGAGGCTGAGTAAAAGAGGTCAGGCACAACTATCAACTGAGTTCAAAACGAAAGCTAAATTATACTGTTTAGGCACTGACATGGGAAAACTGCAAAGAAAAGCAACATAATGAGGACAAAAGTCAGGAGAGGGGTTACTTTTGGCAGCAGGAAGAGGGTTCTGATAGGAAGAGGGCACATAGGGCTTCTGGAATTTCTATGCTTTGACCAAGGTGATGGTTATACTGAAGTTTCCTTTAAAGTAACTTAAGTAGAACATTTTAATGCATGTTTTCATGCATCTTTATCCAACCCTCGGTATTTTTCCTTTTTCACAATTGGAAAGTTTTGTTTTTACTTTTTTAAAGAATCCAAGAAACGCATGAATTCCCCTCACCAAACTACAGGGGGCAATGTCCTTGCAAGAAGAACCTTTGAGAAGGACACTGAGGATCCATTAAACCATGCACACATCTACATGGAGGAACAACCAGATATAATGCTTGTTTAAATCTTTTCAATGCATGGTACTCCCCTGCAGGAGTCAGAGACAGGAGGAACAGTGGCAGCATCAGTCTGGGGCAAACGAGGAAGGGAAGAGAGGGGAAGTCACTCTAGAACTACCACTGGAAGAACTCAGAAAGGCCTTTTCTGACCTTTACACCCACCCTATCCTAGGAGAGAGCTAACAAGTACAAATGGTCTGAAATAATAACATACCCCAAGAACTGCTGAAGTCCTCTCCATTTCGTCTTTGTTCACCTGAATGTTGTGGCTTTCCATTACTGTGATTCAAAAACCAAAGCAGATAATGTTTGTGCTGCATCAATGAATCATTTCTGTGAAAGACTCAAGTGCAAGGAGTGAGCCTCACTCCCTGATAAGGACAAAAATGACAGCACCTGCTGCGAGCCGACCTCAGTGAAGTGACCATTAGGGCCAGTATTTGAGCCCAGCAATGGTGGCAGTGGGCCTGGGGACAAGCACTGGTCAGCCACACTCTGGATAGAGTTGCCCCTCCACCAGCTCGGCTGCAGGGCACTGGTCAAGGCTCTGACTTCCTAGGGACCCAGCAGGACCTGGGCAGAGCGGGAGAGAGAGGGATACAGAGGTGAAGGCAGAGGAGAGCCCTGCAACAGTTCTTCTAGGAGTTCTCACAAAGAGGAAAAGGTTAAAGGACAGTATACCAGGACCAGGGACGACAGTGACATGTAAAACATCCAGACAGCCATCCTCCCCCACATTGCTGTTCTGAGGACCCTGGGAGTCAGGTCAGTGCTCACTCCTTGGCCAGGGCATCTGGCAGAACTGGACAGTACAGAGGGATCCCATATGACCAAAATGTCAGAACCTTCTAGTCCCTCTAGATCAAGAGGTGATAGGGTCCAACCCCTTTCGCTACAGAAAGGGAAAATAAATGGCTTGCTACCTCTTCAATGCCCCCATGATACACTACCCACCCTAAAATAAGTTAGGAGAGAAACAGTCATTCCCAACAATGTAAAGAATTCTCTAGAAACATGACTGTACATCATCTTTATGGTAACTTACCTGCCAAAATTGGTATCAGAGGAAGCTCCAAAGTACAAAATAGTTGCCACAAACCATAAATCTGTTTCATAGGAAGAAATGATATCAATGTTACTTTTAAATTATTATTTTTATCTGCATTTCACTGAAAAGCCTACTTAATTTCCTTGAGCTAGAATTAAGGCAACTACTATAGAAGACATGGTTGGTTTCTTATCCAATAGCCACTCCTCTGCTCCGTCCTCCTCCCTAATAGAACTACTTCCTTCAAGTATCCAATTTTATTACCCAGACCTGGTAGAGATATTTAGAAATATCAGGTAGGACAAGTCCCACTCCCAATATTCTTTAATCTTTCTCATTTTAAAGTCTGATTTAGGTATTTGTAGACTTTTAGTCTTCCATTTTAATTTCAGAATAGTTTACTGAATTTCCAAAAGTTTAACTAGAATTTTCATTGATTCTGCATTGACTTTATAGAGTAATGTGGGAAGAAGTGAAATCTTTATATTAGGTCATCACCTCCAGGAGCATGAAACATCTCTCCATTTATTCAGAGCATCTTCCAAGCTCTTTATCAGTTTCCATCTCTTTTATTCTTTCCTGCTGCTACCTGAGAGAGTCTTCAGCCTCATCTGTTCTTCCTTTATGCCCTCACATTCTCAACCTGCCCCTCCAGAGCCATTCTCTGCCTTGCTCTTCACTCTCGAGGAAGGGCTAATGCCCTCCAGGCCACCTCACCTGGACTCCTTCTCTGCACTCAGGCTGGTTTTGCCAATTTGGGGCTGGTAGAAGGAGAAAGAAGTGGGTTTCCTCTCTCCCACCTGGACCCTGCCCACCAGCCCACAGTGTACTGCTGACTGCAGTTCTCCACCTGCAGCCACAGCTTCTGGTGCCTGACTCCTGACCAGGAGCCCCCTGCCGCCATTGCTCTCCCAGGGTCCTAGTAACAGCTTGCCCTTCAAGCTTAGGGGTTGAAAAGCTTCTAGCCAGTACCTGTCCTTGGAGGCTTCTCCATCCCCTGCTGGCTCCCTTGCCCCTGCTCTTGCCTCAGTACACAGTCCCTTCATTCATCTCTGCTCAATGATTCCTGTGAATGCCCTCTGCTTCCCAATGAAACTCTGATTGAGTGGAGCTGTGTCCATTTCACTATTAAGTAAAATAAACTCTCCGCTTTTATGTTAACTGCAGCATTAAAAATATTCCATTTGAATTGGAGGCTTTTAAAAAATATTGCAATTGTTTTCAGCCTATAGAAAACATTTTTAAAACTTCAGGTCTTGTCATCTGGACTACCCTTTTATGAGTGATGTGCAGCTTAAGGTGGCCTTAGAACTCAATGTTTCATTTCCTGCACATTCAAAGACACTGCAGGTATTGCTTCCTGTGAGTATGGGTGTGAATGAAAGACAGCTCTTGGACAAACAGTGAGCAAGAGTGCCTGCTAACCGGAAGTTATAATAAAATGCCTTGCCTTCAACTGAGAACAAAGGCCCATCGTAAGTCTGTAGAGTATCCTCAGGTTCGCACACACATTCTGATTCTATAAAAGATCAAAAGAATTAAAAATTAGGCAAACTTGGTGGCAATGTTTGTCACAATCTAGGAAGTGACAAAATTCACAAAAATATTTACCAGCTATGTCGCACAAGTCTTTCCATGGCAGATATGATGCATCTGGCAGTGTCACCAATTGCCTCAAGTAGATGAGTTCCCATGGTACAGAACGTGCATCTTATTGGGCAAATGCAAGCTACTTGTCACCTCACACTTTCTCTCCAACCCAGTTTTTTCTTATTTTACAGGAAATGAACCACAAAGATGCAAAATGCCCCACATGCAAAGCCTACACAGTAGTAGAGACAGGAGGACATGGACCTGACCTCTCTACTCCTACAGCCTCCACCCACCATGAGCAAGCTGAGGAGCCACACTGCACATTCCACACTCACCGTCCATCCTCGCCCTAGATGACACACACAGATGCCCTGGAAGTGGACAAACAGGGTCTGTGTTGAACTGATAAATAGGGTGATGGGATGAGCTGCAGCCCCCAACGCTCAGTCTAATTCTCCCTCCACTGACCCAGAGCCCCAGCTTCTCCCATTGAACACCTTGCTCCACCAAATGACTCTCCAGACTCCAGGCCAGTCAGACTCAGCTTTTTTGCTGAAGGCCTCAAGTTAGAGAAAATTCCCCACAATGAGCCAAAGGCTGGCTGCACATACCCTGGCATGTGTTTTCTAGTCATTCCTGGTCTTGGCTCTTCTGTGAACAACTAGTCCAGAGGCATCATGAGCACATCCATGTAAATTTCTCAGCTGCTGCCTGGCAGATTGCCGCAGTGCTGCCTGAATGAGCTTTCTAAACAACAAAGCTGGCTGAGCGACTTCCACTTTAAACAGTTCTCCAACTCCGAAGCTTCCTCAGGACAAGATCAGTCTTCCCAGCAGGCTCAGACCCTTCGGGCATAGGCCCTGCTGTGTCTCCTCTTCCTTCCCCACAGTCATCTTCCTTCTCACCATGTGAGGTCTTGCTGCTTCCCTCAGAAGAGCCACATTCTCCTGTGATTCCCTACTGTTTCCATGCTACTTGCTCTATCCCGAATACCCTTTCATTTTCCTGAACAATTCATACCAGTTGTTCAAAGAAGCACAGCTGGCAGATCCTATAGATTAGTGGGCCCAACTTCCGTCTTCCACCCACTCCTGTATTGCATGCCTCCACAAGAGACACATTTCTGACCAATAAGACACAAGTGGAAATTTACCCGAGGCTGCCTTTTTGATGACTGGAGTGTGGACGAGGGCCCTAGGATGAAGCTTTGCTGGAACCGTAAGGCAATGGCACGAAGGGAGTGGCTGAATGGAAGAGTCCAACAGCACTGTGAGCAGCTGCTCCAGCCGGGGTGAGGGCCAGCAGCTTCTTGTAAGGGACAAACACACCCTGTGTGGTTGGCGTTTTGTTCCTTGCAGCCACTCCCATCCCTAACTCATACACGTGTATACTAGAAAGAAATTGGACTTTAGAGTCAGAAATCCAAAGTGTGAACCGTGGCCTGCACCTTGGTTTACTTATCTGTACACTGGGACTGATAACACTGAGATGGACAACTCCTTCTTTCAGTAATATCTCAGCTTCCGTTTGGGGAAGCTCCCTCCCCACAACATAGAATCTGGGTAGGACTTCTACTCTCCACGTCCTGCCCTACGTGCCAAGGGCAGACATGTGACACAGTGAGGGAAACAAAACATCTGAAGCGCTGGAACTTTTAATCTTGAAAAAAGTGACACACGGATCAAAAGGTCATGGCTCACTTCTCACCCCAGGCCCTGTGGGCTCCCGCTCTGTGGGTCCCCAGAGCCGCCTGGCTCCTGACTTCCCAAGGCCTGGTTCTGCTTCTTCTCTGAGTCTGTGAGCTGCCCCATATTCCTCTGACAGAACTCTTTTTAAATTAAGGGAAAGCAAGTTTCTGTACTCTCAAACCCAAGCCATTGACACAGAACCTTCGCTCACAGAAGGTCTGTAGGATAAAATGCAGGACGACAACATCTCCTGGCTCAGTACTTCACGCTGGGTATACTCCCAGGGCCACCTGTTCCTCTGTGCCCCCTCAGTACTCTGCATATTCTTTGACTTGTGCTTTTAAGGTGTAGCTGTTAATTTACAACTAGGAAGCCTGAACAGAGTGGCCCCATGTGGCCCACGCTGCTCCCACTGGGACACCTCCTCTGGAGCCTGCCATGTGTCAAGTCTCCCTTTCACTGAGCTCCAGGCAGGATTCCAAAGCTGCAAGCACCCTTGCTTCTCCGGACAGTGGTTCTTAACAATCGGGGGCATCTTCAGAAGAGGGGCTCAGAGAGACATACCTGGAGCAGCTTCTACAAGTCTCCCCATGTGGACTGAGGAGTGGCCAACCCAGGCCCTCTGTCACAGCAGCCATATCACCAGCACTAAGAATTTATAAACAAGCAGCTCTCCACTCATGGAGCAGCTGACTTTCTGACACCAGAGAACCCATTTAGAAGGATCACACTGTGAATGGGATTTCCCAGGAACAGTTTCACGAAGGAAGAGAAATTACCCATCCTTATTGAATATCTTCCTCCAGAAATGTCAGAGTAAAAACATTTGCGCTGAATAAGTAAAAATGAATGTCAGCAATATTCTTTACTATTGGACTGTCTATGAACCAGAAAAAGTTTCTAGAGAAAAATTAGGGCTACATTAAGGTTGACAAAACCTTATCTTAAAACAACTCACCACAATATTTCTTGAGGAATTTCCATATGTGCTGCTCACTTTAACTGTGATGGAGTTTTCCAAGTATTTTGCCACTAAATCTTCAAAAGAGGGAGCAGCATCACTAGGATCTATAAGCCATGCAGCGATTCTGGGATCTAGCCCTACAAAGTCAGCAACTAACGAGAAAAAGGTCCTTTAATCATTCTAAGAAAAATGAATAATTGTACTTTTCCCTGCTTTTACAAGGTTCTCAAGGTTCAAATTAATAATAATAGTGTTACCATCCTCTCAAATTACACAGCTAAGTATCAAAGTGATGCTCTGTCATTCCTAAAGAATTTCGAATCTTTGATAAGAGCATCCTCCCCCCAGGTCCCACATGGCCAATCTCCATGGGGAATGGATCCCAAACAGTTAAAAAGGGGTGGAGACTCCAAACTAACTTGGAATTTGGATCTCTCAAAAATGTTAAAAGGGATCAAAGTCAGAATCCTCAGCTACACTTCTTGTCTCCTCTTCCCCACCTTTCTCTTCCCCTCCCTGCTCCCAAGCCTCTCACTGCCCCATGCACCTCTCCCCCATCTGGCTTTTCAATCACATATGTCAACGAATCCACTCTTTCCAAGTCCTCCCCTCCTCCAGTCTCTCACTGGTCTACGTTCCTAGGCCACCTTTGACCTCGCCTCGCATTGGGACGTTCAGGAACCCAAGTCTTGTGAGTAGAAGCAAGAGTGATGAGAAGCTGCCTGAGCAAATGGCATCCTCGTCATTGAGTTCTGGGGAGGCTGGGCAGTGTGTGCGAGGGCAAAGACGCTTGATGTTTTGGGCATTTACCCTGATGTGAGGAAAATCCTGTGAGACAACTAGATGTGCTGCATCACAATGTGTGAAAAGAACCAGGGCGCCAGACCACCCTGTGAGCCAGGGAGGTCACTTTGCCCCTTAAGTGTTAGTTTTCTCATCTGAAAACTGGGAGAAAAGATTACTATAAGTATCTGTGAGACATATGTGAAGGTGCTTTTTAAAAAATAAAAATGATATTTGCTAAATAGATAAATTTTAGTATCAGAGTGTTTTAGATATGAAGGGGGAGTTATAAATGGATAAAGAGGGGCTCATAAATTAAGAGATAAATCTGAATTCTATGTGATTGTTTTTTCAAGTTACCTTTTTTAGGATTTTATTTTTTTTCCTTTTTCTCCCCAAAGCCCCCTGCTACATAGTTGCATATTTTTAGTTGTGGGTCCTTCTAGTTGTGGCATGATGAGCGGTGCCATATCCGTGCCCAGGATCCAAACCAGCGAAACCCAGGGCCGCCGAAGTGGAGCGCGTGAACTTAACTACTCGGCCGAGGGGCCGGCCTTCAAGTTACTTTAACATTTTGAATTGTGCTATACAAAAGTAACGAGTTTGCCTTTAAACAAAACTGTAGTCTTAGCTCACATCACACTAAATATTATATTTTTTGGCATCTTTAAATTATACTAGTCTAAGAGATTTATATTTACTAACAGTCAGTATCATGACTTCTTTGTTTGATGACTAGGGAGTCTCTTACACTGGTAGATTTGGAACTTTGGAGAGTTTGGCGAGACAAAGTCGGCAGTCATTCTGGCTGCGTGCCACTCAAGTCAACTATGCATGACTTCATATAGCACTGTCTAGCAATGCTAACTGACCCAGTAGGACTATTCCACTCTATTTGCCTTTTCAAAGCTCTGATGGCCCAAAATTAAGGGTTCTTAACGTATATTTTTGAAAATCCTTGGGGAAGGTCTGACAGCACTGGAATGGTCTGGGGGCTGGTCCCTATAAACTCTTGTGACTAACAAACTGAAGCCTGCTAGGACAAACTCCACACTGGGGAGAAAGTGCCAGTAGTTTAAAAAGAAATGCCAACAAAATAGATTTAAAATGAGCTAAGAAACATTAAGAAAATAATAAAAGCCATGAAAAATAAATAAACCAGAATTAGAAATACTTAGAAATTAGGTGACTTAGAAAAAGAAAAATGAATGAAGAAATGGAAGAATTCAGGAAAGGGAAATTAAAAAGCCATTTCAGAAATAAAAATTAAACTGGCAACACACAAAAGCAAATAAATGGAACAGATAATGCCTTAAGTAAAAAAGAAGATGGAGGGGCCAGCCCTGTGGCTGAGTGGTTAAGTTCGCGTGCTCTGCCGTGGCGGCCCAGGGTTTCGCTGGTTCGGATCCTGGGCGCAGACATGGCACCACTCGTCAGGCCACGTTGAGGCGGCATCCCACATGCCACAACTAGAAGGACCTGCAACTAAGATATACAACTATGTACAGTGGGGTTTGGGGAGATAAAGCAGGAAGAAAAAAAAGAAGACTGGCAACAGTTGTTAGCTCAGGTGCCAATCTTTAAGGAAAAAAAAAAAGATTATTGTTAATTTGAGGGGGAGATGATGATGGTATCATCTTAAAAATGAAATCCTCAGGGGCCGGCCCAGTGGCATAGTGGTTAAGTTTGCACACTTCGCTTTGGCAGCCTGGGATTTGCAGGTTCAGATCCTGGGAATGGACCTACACACACTCATCAAGCCATGCTGTGGCAGCATCCCATATGCAAAGCAGAGGAAAATCAGCATGGATGTTAGCTCACAGCTAATCTTCCTCACACACACAAAAACTGAAATCCTCATATGTTAGTCATATAATTGAAATATTTACAGATTAATCATATGATGCTTGGGATTGGCTACAAAATAATCCAGGGGATGAGGGTTTGGAAATGTGAGGAGTTATACAGGAAAGAAGACTGGACATAAGTTGATAATTGTTGAAACTGGGTGATGGGTACTCTGTTGTGTTTTCTGACACCACCTCTGACACCACACGTGTGGGTTTTCCACACCGCCAACTCCAGTTCTCTGCAGACTTCAGCTGGGTGTCCAAGAATTCAATTCAATTCTGACACTACCTACCTGAAGTTATGACAGACAATGCAGGTTAAGGGCTCAGCCCCAGAAGACCGTCCCCGCTTCAGGAGCCAGTCCCAAGTCCGGGGCCTCCTGTACTTTCAGCCAACCAGCTATAACTTACCATGCTTCCAACTGCCATCATCACCAAAAAACTGTAGCACTGTTCTCACAAAATCCTTTGCATTAAAACAAATAACAGGACATTTACATTTCAGTATTTGAAACAGCACATCCCTAGAAGATGAAAGGAAATTCACTGATTTAGACATTAATTTAGGACTTTTCATCTTGGAAAAAAATTATTGCTACTCCACTAACAGCTATCACTTAAATAGTACTTCGTTGCAGACATTCTTCTAAGAGCTTTACATAGATTAATTCAAAAATCCTGTGAGGTTGGTATTACTTATTATCTGCACTTTACAGATTATGAAGCTGAGACACAGAGAGGCTAAGTAACAAATCCAAGGTCACACAGCTGTTCAGAGCCAATCCCTGGGCAAAGCCCCATTACCTACAGACTAACACCCAAATTCCTGAGCAGAGCATACACATTTTGGGCTCTTTACAGCCAGCCCTAACACAACTCTCCAGCCTGCTCTCCCAGCACTCCCTCCCAACATTCTATCCTTGGCTCACACTGAATACTCTTTCCTCTGTCACCAGACTGTGCAACGTCCCCTCACACTCCAGAGCCACTGCACATGCTGTATTCTTGCCTAAAATTCTCCTCCCACAATTCCTGAAAACGGCTCAAGCACTATTTTCAGGAGGGTCTGCCTGGATCGCAGGCAGGGCTTTGTTCCTCTGCTATGTTCCTTCTCCTCCTTCCTGTCCACACATCTGCTACAGCCAGGACCACACTTGCTATAGTGTAATTTACTTTGAAAGTTTGCTCTCCCCATTACATCATGATCCATGAATATGGGATTCATAGTAGTTAACACTTATTAAACACTCCCCAGGAGCAGATCCTATGCTAAACACTTCACAAGGAGTATTGCAATGAATCCTCATCATAATCCTATTAGGCAGGCACTAGATCCACTTTACAGATAAGAAAACTGAGGCTCAGAGAGGTTAAACAATTTTCCCAGTGTTACACAACTGCTAAGTGGCAAAGCTGAGGTCTGAGACCCTATCTCACTGCTGCCAAGGCCCAAGCTATAAATCTCCTACTACAGTAACAATTTATTAACACATTAATGAGGGTCTTTGGAAACAGCCAAGGAAGAAAGAAACTAGGAGCCCAAATAGGTCTGTACACTAAGTCAGCATATAGTTAGATTTTGCTTGGCTTGCTCCAGAGACAAGATCTTTTTAGGCTTTTTTCATTTTCTTGTATGATTTTAGCTTGGCTTCCCTTGAAGAGAGGGGCCAGGATGCTAGGGAGGGCAAAGTGCCAACTGTTGCACAGCTTCAGGTCTTGGCTCTACTGGATTTGGGAGAGGGTGTACAGGAGGAGAGAAGGGGAAGGGGGATGAAAGTTTGCAAAGGAGAAGAACTGGAGACAACTGGAGTTCCTTCCACTGTGATGCTCTTGTATGCTGGGAACCCAGGAGTCCTTAACGAGGTCATCTAATAACCACAATATCTCCCACTAACAAGAGATGCTTCTATCTTGATAAGACAACAAAAAGAATATCTTGTAAGACAAAGTGGCTAAAACACTGTGTTTTATAAGTCAGTTATATAAGTCAATTATGTCCCAATTACAAATCAAAAAGGCAGCTATGGTATAAAAAAACTAGACTTGAGTATTAAAAAAGGAGGCTTGTGCTGAAATCTCAAGGATGACCTATGACTACCTCTCTATCTCTATCTCTCTGAGTCTCAGTTTCCTCACATATAAAATGGAACTAATAACACCTAATATACACAGTTAATGTTAAAATGAAAAGAGAGCATGTATGTGAAAAGACCTTGCATGGGTATTTAACAAATGTTGTTAAATATGTTTTGTGCAAAAAAATTATGTATGTGTCTATTAATTTAAATATGATTTAAATTCATTTTGAATCTCAAAGATACTATCATAGAATTGGGATTATTACTTCCAATTTTATGGTATTTGAGTCAATGTCTTCATATAATTGTCCTGGAACTTATAAAAATTAAACCTCAATACTCATTCATTGAGTAATAATATTGAATAAATATTTATTAAGCACACGCTCTCTGGCACTTTCTTGGCTGTGGAGATATAAAAATGAGCAAAACATAAAAATCCCTGCCTCCAGAGAGCTTTGGGGTAGAAGTACAGTAAACAAAACAAGCAAGTAAGAGAGAATGATAATGGTGGTATTTCAGAGAACTATGGAGCAGGGAAAGGAGATAGGGAACATGTGTGCTGTTGGGATGGGGTACAGTTTTATACAGGGTGGTCAGGCATGGCCTTACTGATAGGGTAATACCTATGTAAAGACTTGAATGACAAGGAGAACAAAAAGCCTAGTTAATGAAGGAAAGTTCTATACAGAAAATTTTAGCCAATAAATGTGGAATAAATGATAGTTAGAAAAATCATCATCCTCAAGTCATAATTTAAAAGTGATTCCAATGACCCTCATCGATAGACAAACCACAGGGGAAAGTCTGCTGGGGAAGTTTACAAAGGCGGGATCGTGCTGCCACCACCTGACCCACGGCTCTATCTCAGCATCATGGTATTGGGACAACACAATTGCATCATAAAGGTAGCCAGATAGAATACAGGACACCCAGTCAAACTTGAAATTCAGAAAAACAGTGAATAATTTTTATCTGAAAAAATGTAAATATTTTTTGGAGATTTTTCCTTTTAGTGTAAGAATGTCTCATGTAATATTTGAGATATACTAAAAATTAGTTGTTTATCTGAAACTCAAATTTAACATCTTGTAGTTTTATTTACTAAATCTGGCCACCAACTGCATCACAGATGGTTTGAAGAAACATATGGCACCACTGAGAGAAGTTTTCTTGTAAAAAAAGTTGGACTTGAATAATCAAGCTTGTAGAACTAAACTCCACTTTACAGAAAATATGGAGAAAAGGAAAACCAGTTAAAGATTGCCACAATGAGGAAACAGGTACGTCCAGAAAGTGGGACCTTCTGCAAGATGGGGTGAAGGGTAGGAGGATGCTCATATTAGAAGAGGCAGAAGAGACATGATCTCCAAATGTCACATGTGGACCTTGCTGGTCCTGATCCCAGTAGATCAAGTGTAGAAGGACATTTTTAAAATTTGGCCTGGGTATAACATCAGTTAATTTTGAGAATGGCATTGTGGCTATGTAAAACAAACAAACAAACAAAACCATGTTTTTTAGAGCTAACTCCTGAGACAAGTGAGGTAAAAGGACATGTTTGGGATTTAATCCCAGCTCCCCACCCTTCCCCTCAAAAAGGGACAGATAAAGGAAGTACGGAAAAACCTTTGATAACTCTTTGGTCTGGGTGGATGCGTATATGGGGCTCATTATACCATTCTCTCTACTTTGTATTTTCCTAATTTGCTTTTCTTTGTTTAAAGAGAAACACAAAGGAATGAGGTGGTGAATCACGCAGATATCTGGAAGAATACTGCAGGAGAGGGAACAGCTGGTACAAGGCCCTGGGGTAGCAGCATGCTCCCCACATTCGGGAACAGCAGTGAGAGTGGGGAAAGAGGAGAAGAGGACCAAGAAGCAGCAGAGGGGTTGGGTACGTAGACCTGCAAGGCCACTGTAGGAACTTTGGCTTTCCTTCAGAGCAAAGCAGGAGCTTTTAGAGGTTTTGAGCAGGGGAGTGAGATGATCTGATTTACGTTTGAACAGGACCTCTGTGGGTGCTGTGCTAAAAACAGACAGAAGGGGCAGGTGGAGGTGGGAGGCTCCTTGCCACAATTCAGTCAGGAGGTAAAGGCCTGCAGAGGAAAGGCAGCAGCAGAGGGGATGAGAGTAGGTCAGAATCTACCTGTATTTTGAAGGCAGAACCAATGGGATTCACTAAGAGCTGAGAGGAAGTATACAGAAAAAGAGAGAGAAATTAAAGATAACGGACTGAGCTCATGGAGGGCTAACGGTGACACTAACTAAGACAACAAAGGCTGTAGAAGGCAAGTTTCAGGGAAGATAGAAGCTTTGAAATTCATAATATCTTGGCGGTATTGAGGACAGTTTCCTGTTTGAAGGCAGTGATAACTTCATTTTCTAATGCAGTGAGTGAACAAGTGTGATGAGGAAAATAATCTGGGACTCTGGCAGATGCACATGTTAAGGCTGAAGTGACTACTAGATGTCCAAGCAGATGTCGAGTAGGATATATAAATCCAGAATTCAGAAAAGGCTGTCCAAATATTAGGGCTCTACTCTCACAGAGATCTTCCATAGAATAGACCTGCCGAATTGTTCTTTCAAAAGAAAACTATATAAAAGGAAGCTTATGGGTTTCTTGGGAGCAGAATGCTATATTAGTCAAACACTGTCCTGTTCTCATCAAAGTTACTGTAGTGTAAGTACTTGACATTAAGCTTTTGATTGCTGAGGCAACCATTTCAAAAGACATCCATCTTGGGTAGACATGTTGCCAGCTGTATGACACAGCTATTAGCAAACCAAGCAGATAAGGATCTAGGTCTTCCCCACCCATGAAGGTCCCTCCTCAGAAGGCCCTGGGTGATCCAGATAACTGACCACTAGAGTGACCATGCTTCTCCCTTACCGTGTCCTAATTCCCTCTCTTAGGCTTTAAACTAGCCAATAAAGACTGAACCCTTGAAACCCTACGCACCCCACCCTCAGATCCTAATAAAAGCAGAGCCCTAGGTCAATGCTCTCTCTCTGTCTACTGAAGACCTCGCTGTGTGGCCCTCGGGCATGCTGGGTACGCTCCAGGACCGATGAATAATAAATCTTATAGTCTCTAAGTTGCCTGACGTTTTTTGCTGAAGTGTGTCCTGTGATCATAATAAGAACCACAAAGGCTAGTCCAGCCACAGCTTTGGCCCCTGTGGGGGAAATGTCTGTGGGGGCTCACTACCAGTAATACGTCCCCTGGCAAGTGCCTCAGGAGTTCCTAGCTGAGAGCATCACTATCAATAGCCTGGGACCCACATAACAGTTACCGAAAACTCATCAAGGCCTACTGAGACTGTATTAGACAGGAAGGGCCAGGCTCCCCACCTTCTATCCTTGAGCCTCCTTGAACTCCTCTTCAGGGCAGCGGCTTTAAGGAGCAATCTCGGGGCACTAATTGACCTGAACTCAGAGGGCTGGGCGGACAGGAAGTGGATGCCCCCACCCAAGGCAGAAACTTCAACGGGGCTGACAGCATGTGCAAAGAAAGAGTGACAAGAGGCACAGGCTCCAACCTACAATAGGACTTTTCAGGATTGAGAAGGGGCATCCCTGCCTATTCTAAGATTCTAAGAGGGCACGTCCAAGTGAGACACGTCTTGTTTATGTTCACAGACATGAAGCTTTGAAATTCATAATATCTTGGTGGTATTGAGGACAGTTTACTGTTTGAAGACAGTGATAAATTCATTTTCTAATGCAGTGAGTGAGTGAACGAGTGTGATGAGGAAAATCATCTGGGACTCTAGCAGTGACTCTGGGTTTTCAGGCCTGGGGATGATGTTTTCCTCACCAACTTTCATTGAGATGTTGATTCAAATTCTGGAGCAGGCTCCCACAAAAGGATGAAACCTCCAGGCCAGAAGCTCTTTGAGGGGGAGAGAGCCAATGTTTGTAGAGGTTTCTGTCATTTAGATCCATTTTATTTTCATGTGCCCATACAAAACTTGTAAAAGTTTACATAATAAAATTGGAGCTTCAGAAACTTTAAATTAGGACAAAGCAGGCATGTAAGTAAGATTTAAGGTAATGAGTGAAGATGTCGAACCTGGCAAATTGACTATGTGCCTCCTGTTCCTGGCTCCAAATACAAGAGAGCTCTGTTTTTATGTAGATAAACTGATCACTGGGTGTGAAGCCTTCCTCAAGAACACAGTAAGAGGCTGAGGCATCCAGAGGACCACTGCTGCCTTCTGTGTGGCTCTGTAGTAACATCACAATTCCTTTAACAGGGGAAACTAGAGCCTGTGAATACACAATAAAATAAAGTTTCAATATTAAACATAGACAATGTGTTTATTTAAGAAAAATATGTCATGTTTTATAATTAAGCAGAGAGAAAAGAGAAAACTTGTAAATTTGTAAACAAACAACTCTTTTTGTGACAATCAAGGCCAAAAGCCAAACTCATGATCTTACTCTCCAAATCTGGTCTCCTCTCTATTTAACATCATAATGGAAGTCTTAGCCAGTGTAATACAATAGGAAAAAGAAATAAAGGCATATAAATCAGAAAGGAAGAATTATACTGTCCCTATTTACAGATACCACGAATGTCTGCATAGAAAACTCAGAGGAACCTACAAAAAAGAACTCCTGGAACTAATACACGAGTTTAGCAAGGTTACAGGATACAAGACCAAAACAAAAATCTCAACTGTATTTCTATACACTAGCAATAAACATATAAAAATGAACTTTAAAGAAAAAGAAATTACTCTTTATAATAACTATTCCAAAAAATGAAATACTTAGAAATCAACAAAATATCTATAGGATCTGTATACTGAAAACTACAAAATACTGAAGAAAGAAATCAGAGAAGACCTAAATAACAGAGACATACCATGCTCAAAGGCTACAAAACTCAAAATAATAAGAATGCCAACTCTCCCAAGTTATTCTATAGAACCAAGAAGATCAATAAACTCTAAGTACAAGAAACATGAAGAAAACTATGCCAAATCACATCATAATGAAATTGCTTAAAACCAGTGATAAAAAGAAAACCTTGAAAGAAGCCAGGGTAGGGGAGATGGGGGGGCTGCATACTACCTAGATAGAAACATAGAAATGGATGACAGCAGATTTCTTGTGGGAAACAAGGTAAGTTACAAAACAGTGGAGTAACATCTTTAAATTACTGAAAGAAAAAAACTACCAACTTACAATTTTTTAGTCAGCAAAAATGTCTTTCAAAAAAAGGAAGATTTGTATACTACACTGAAAACTACAAAACTGCTAAAAAAAAATTGAAGTTTTAAATAAATGAAAGGATACCCCCTCTCCATGGATCAGAAAACTGAATACTGTTACAGTGGCAAAACTCCCAAAATTAATCTATAGATTCAATACAGTTTGTATCAAATTCCAGCTGGATGTTTGCAGAAGTTGACAAACTGATTCTAAACTTTATATGGAAACGCAAAGCAACGAGACTACCCAAAACAATACTGAAAAAGAAAAACAAAGCTGGAAGATTCACACTCCCTGATTTCAAAACTTACTTCAAAGATAAAGTAATCAAGACAGCATGGTACTGTCATAAGGAAAAACATATGGATGAATGGACAGAATTGAATGTCCAGAAATAAACTCTTACATTTATAGTCAATTGATTTCCAGTAAAAGTGCCAGGAAATTCAACAGAGAAAGAAGAGTCTTTTCAACAAATAATACTGGGAAAACTAGAAATCCCCACGCAAAAGGGTAGATTTATGTTTTTATCTCACACCATACACAAAACTAAGTCAAAATGGATTTAAATGTAAGAGCTAAAACTATAAACTTAGAAGAAAACAGGAGTAAATCTTCATGACCTGGGATAGGCACAGCATTCTTAAATACAACAACAAAAGCACAGGAAATAAAAGAAAAAATCTGATAAACCGGAGTTCACCAAATTAAAAAATTTTTCTGCTTCAAAATACACCATCAAGAAATTGAAAAAACAAGCCACAGATTTGGAGAATTGCAAATCATATATCTGACAACAGACTTGTATCAGAATACATAAAGAACCCTTACAGATCCAAGATAAAGCAACTGAAAACAAACAACCCAATCAAAAAATGAGCAGAAGATTTGAATATATATTTCCCTAAAGAAGACACACAAATGGTCAACAAGTACATGAGAAGATACTCAATGTCATTAGTTATTAGGGAAACGCAATTTAAAACCACAGTGAAGTACCACTTCACACCCACTAGAATGGCTAAAATAAAAAAGACAGTCAACAACAAGTATTAACAAGGAGGTGGAGAATTTGGAACCCTTGTATAGTGCTGGTGGAATATAAAATGGTACAATCACTCTGGAAAACATTTTGGCAGTTTCTTAAAAAACAGATGAGAACTATGCATTATCAATCACTTGCCACTAAGGGAGAAGGGGAGGCTCAAAATCTTATTTCTAGTTCTCCTATCAAAATCAGACACTAAGAAAATGGATTTCTTTTATGGTGCCAAAAAAACCCCAAAACAAACAAACAAAAACCAACACTGTTTACTAACCTGGTCAGCTCTTAGCTGGGTTGAACCATCCTTATATATCAGAGTTAGCGCCAAGGCTACTGCCTGTTTGAGCATTTCAATCAGCTGGCTTTTCTCCAAATCATCCAAATACCTAATATCACAAAAATGGTTTTTGAATGCTCTTGAGTTCCCAGAATTTAGGTAGAGTCCAACCTCATCAGCATCTTCTTCCAATGCCATATGTTTACTTGTTTTCTCTGATGAATTATTGTATGTAATATGTTTTCTTTTAAGATTCATGCTTCCCTTATTTTCATTATTTATATTTTCTTTTAGGGAATATTTTCTTTTATGTTCTAGTTTCTGTAGAACTGAAGCCTCTTGGTTACACTGTGGAATTAAACAACTGGAAGGAGCCAACAAGTTGATGTCCTTCTGTTTTTGGTCAGTAGACAGCTGATCTGTGAGTCTGATACTGGAAAACTGAGAAGAGAGTTTGACAGAAGCTCTTGATGTCTGGCTTGTAAAAGAACTAAGATTCTATCAAAAAATGGAAAATATTTCATTAGAATATGGATTCATAAAACAGATATATAAACCAAACTAATTTCTGATAAAACTCATCTAAGGTAAAGTAGGAACACAGCTTCATATCATCTAGAATAAACTTTCTAATGAAATTATATAGCGTCTTCTAGAGCAGTGATTTTTCTCAACCCAGGTAGGAGTGCATATGTGAATCATAAGCTGGGATAGGCAGGAGTTCAACAAAGTCTCCAGCCACACCCCTGTATTGAAATTGTGCATGTAATGAGATGCCATGGATGGGAATATGTTGCAGATGTGCGTAAGAGTGAAGAATAATAATTTACAACTTTCAAGTAAAGACCATTTATAGAGAAAATGAAATCACCGCAACTATTTGATATGTTAATCTATCTACTAAAAATTAAAAAAAAAATATGGCTCAGCAGCAATCCTCTTCCTATCTTGATCTAGCAATGTGCAATACTCATTCATAGATTCACAAACCAACCAACGGGAAAAAAGCATGCCTATCCATTTGACATGATGAACTATGGGTTCATTTACAATAAAATTTTATTTTGAATGTTTATTTTTCAGATTTTATGACATTTATGCTGTTTTGAACAATTATACACTAATAGTACTTTAAAAATAATTTTGAAAGAAAATGTTTTAACAGTTGGTCACATGGTCATAGAAATTTTAAATTTATACTCATTTTCATTGCAGAGAAATATCATATGGTCTTCAAGAAAAGACTAAAGCATAAAATTATATTACATTAAAAATTCTGTGGAGGAATATACAAGAAAAGGAGTTCAAGGAGAAAAATGAACATACAAAAATTCAGATTGTTCAAAAATATGCTGCTGAAGTTTTTTTAAAGGGATGATTATGGATATCAAGGTGCCAGAGTACAGCATTTAGATTTTAGTGGATATATCCTAAATGATGATATAATAGTTTTTAAAATGTCAACATTATCAATACACCAGAAATGATGTCCTATGAAACTTTTAAAATTTGCAGCAAATATTATAAATGTCAACTTAAAATGTCAGAAGATGCATGGCTTTTCAAAATTCTTTTGAGAGAAAGGGAGCAACAAGGTTTGAAGACCTCTGCCTTAGGGATCCAAGGAGCACAATTTGAACACTGCTGAAAGAATTTACTTACAAAGGGCTGCACAGTCCCTTCTCTGTCGAAAATGCCCCTCCCTCCACTTCAGGGGCAAACCATCATCCCATCAACCAAGCAGCAGTCCTATCATCCCCATTTTACTACAGGGAGTTTAGATTAGAGGAAGTTAGACTGTGATTTGAACACATGTAGTTTGCTCCACAATCCATTCTCTTAACCACTATGCTGCCTCCACCACTGTTTCATATACAAGGTCTTTGGTGATAAGACCTCTTCTCATCTCTTCCTTCAAGCCCAAACCATGTAACTCATCCATTGTGAAATTTATATCCCCTACTTTGTAAACTTCTCTTTATTTCCACTCCTTCAAAGTTCCAAGCTCTCTTCCTTTAACCTGAAAAATGTTCTCAAAGTCCTTTCCCTACCCTCTAAAGGTGGGGATCGTTAGGCTGACCATCTCCTAATCATCCTGTAGATCTCAACTCAGATATACTTTTCATACTTCAAAAAGACATCCCAGACTTCTCTCCCCACCACCCCGAAAAAGCAAAATGAAACAGCACAAAAAGTGGGTAGATGTCTCTCCTACCATTCCCAAAGCACTTGGGACTGACTTCCATCATGGCACTTAATACACCGTATTGCAGAGATCTATTGTACTTCTCTGTCTTCCCCTTCCCCTCATACAAATTAAACTATAAGCTCCTGGAGAAGAAGAACTTTGTTTTTAACCGTTGTGTCCATAACACCTAGCATACAGTAGACACTTAATAAGTGTGTTGAATGAGTGAGGGTTATCTGTCTAGAATTATTCATATTTGGAATGATTTACCTTTTTTCCCAGTGATTGATTCTTCCCATCTTCAAGTACTACTGAATTCTTAACACTGGACTTTTTTACCACTTCTGCAGCTTTTAAAAACACAAAAAAGAAATGAGGCATTAAAGAAATATTGAAATCTAAGTCATATAATTAGTTAAACATTGGAAACAGCCTCTACAATCATGCTATTTACTCATTATTTACTTGCTTAAAACAATGTAATAAAATCACCTCCAAAATGCATATTAGCATTGTAATAAACATTTATGTACAGTATCTCCAAACTTACTATAGACAGATCTATGTAATCGTGAAATGTTTATTAAAAATTGTTACCTAGTATTTGCATTTGAATACTTGAGTCCAAAACCCCAAGGTCAACATTTTACAGAACGTTGCAAGTATTAAAGGTTTGAAGAAATTCTTAGACTGAACACTATAGCAATGGAACAGAGATTTAGTAAAATATCATTAACACAAACTTTTGATTTAAATTTAATTTTAATAATCCTGGGCTGAAAATTAAGTGATGGAACCTGGATTCAACTCCAGAGACATGACTGAGGAGTCTGCTCATAACCACTGTGATACATGTTCCCTCTACAGCAACAAGAACAACCGAAAAACACAAATGGGGGGAAATCTTTCACTTACAATAGAAAAAGTTATACTTAGGATAAATTTAACAAGAAAGGCACAAGGCACTCGATGAAAACTTAGTATCTTATGAAATGGCATAAAACAACATCAATGCTGATGGAAAGACACAGCATTAGCCCAAGCATAAAATGTTTAATTCTTCCAAATATAAATTTAATGCAATTCCAATCAGAGATGCTACAGGGCTCTTTTAATTGAAAAATAATTTCAAAGTACATATTAAATACTAAACATCTGAAAATAGACAAGACAGTTAAGTTAAAAAAAATAAATAAAAGAAGATTGCCTTGCCAGATTATCAGAACACATTATAAAGCCACTATAATCAAATCCACATGATATTTGTATAGGATCAGACAAAAAGATCTCTAGAACAGAACAGACAACCCAGAAACTGACTGCAGGACTTACGATACTTTAATATACAACACAGATGGTATCTCAATTCAGTAGAAAAGGACAGATTAATAAATAAGGATAGTACATTAGCACTGCTTCTTCTTCATTTTCTTTTTTGCTGAGGAAGATTTGCCCTGAGCTAACAATCTTCCTCTTTTTGTACGTGAGCCACCACCACAGCATGGCCACTGACCGATGAGTGGCATAAGTCTGCACCTGGGAACTGAACTCAGGCTACCAAAACGAAGCACGCTAAACTTAACCACTAGGCCACCAGGGCTGGCCCTAGCACCACTTCTGAAAGAAAATAATACATGGGAAAACTGTTTGGAACAAAAATGACAAAGGGTTAACAACTGTATTATACAACAATTTCTTATATGTTGACCAATAAAGACAAACAATTCAAGAGAAAAATGAGCAAAAGATAGGCAGAGGCAATACACAAAACAGCAAATCCAAAAAGCAAATAAACATGATATAATACTCAAACTCACTAGTAGTCAGTGAATTAAACATAATTGAAGATGGAAGAGAAGAAGTACTGTCATGCATTGCTGGTACAAATGTGAACAGTTAGAATCTTTTTGGAAAGCAAACTGTCAACACTTACTAAAATTAAAAATACATGTATCACCCTTGGGAGTTGGGAAGAAAAGGATGGACCCAAAGGGAGCTGAGATGGGCCTCGAAGGTACTACTACTGTTCTGTTTCTTGATCTGGGTGAAGGTTACAAGGGTGTTCAGACTGTGAAATTTTGAGCTATAATTCAGTATATATGTGCTTTATGTGTATGTGTGTATGCTACTCAATAAAAACAGAGATATAAATACATAAATCATCTAACCAACCAACCTCACTCCTAGTTATCTGTTTCATAGAAATATATGCAACAGTAAATAAGTTTTAACCAAAATGTTTATGCCAGTATTGCTTCATAGCAAAGGACTGAAAGAAAAGTAGACACTCATCACGAGGGAAGTCGAGGAATAAATTATGTAACTTCCACATCATGAAACAAGCACATAGTCATTAAAAAGAATGACTTTGAGTTATATCGGTTGACTTGAAGATGTAGAAATCTGTGAAAACATGATCTCATTTTTTAAAACAATGATCAAATCTCTCCACTGATGTACATTTATGAGTATGTTATATACATACACTGGCACAGGTCTGGTCCCCGGGAGGCCAATTCTGAGATGAAGGCCTGCATTCAGAAAGGTTTTTGGGGAGTGCTTTCAGGATCAGTGTCTGTCAGGAATGAAGGAGCACTGGGCGAAGGTGCAGTGACTAGAAAGGCCTGCTCTGGATCTGGCATGGCCATGCAGAGTTGTACCCCGTTGGATCAAGGGAGCTGGGCCTTTATACCCCAGCACCAACCAGTCATTGGATTGTTTGCTCCTGGGAAAGGGGTGTGCCCGTGGGCAAAAAAAAAACCTCTTTGCAGCTTTGGCAATCACTAAGAGGGGCTGTGGTGTGAGCAGCGAGCCAGCAACAGTCTCAGCAGCTGGGGCACTGAATCGTTTAGCATAAACACAGGGGGTCCAGGCATCCACGGTGTTCACTACAGTCCTACACTACCATTCACTACACTGGACTGTTCACAGCCACTTTCTTCACATACATTCTGGGAGCGACTCCTTCAGGATTCTGGTGGGCCTCTTCCTGGGGGAAACTTTCACAAGGAAGGTTAATGGGATAAACTGCATCTCCTTGTTGCTGCAGCTGGTCTCAAAGTTGCAAATGATACTTATTTCTCTCCTCCAGCACCCATTCTAAGGTCACCTCACCCTGGCTTGGCACCTCTGCTAGTCTTAGGTAGTCTACCTGATTGAGTGACCCAAACCTTCATCCCTGAGAGGTATAAGCCCCTAATCACCAGGCCCTTCTCAGGCCATGGCTGTTGCACTGGCCATCAAATTTAGGCAGGGGACTGAGAGGTGACCAACCATCACCTAGGTGCCAAGTATATGCTTCCCTGGCCCCATTATGTAACAGCAGCCCTAACTTCTCCTGATGACCAAGAGGTCATCTCTAGCGGGATGGAGATTACATTCCTTGTTTGCCCATCTGTTGGCATAACGAACTTGAAATGACTGGGCAGCAGCCATAGCTTGAAACTGAATGGTACTCTTCCTATGTCCCTGGTGGGTTTCACCTCTGGGAGTCAAGACTAAACCTGCAGAACCCAGAAGTATGAGGGGAGAGAAACAAATTTACTGAGTGCAGCACTGGGAGTGATGGTAACCAGGGACACTCCCACTTCCACCTTTTGGTTCCCAGACCCCTTAATTACATATAATGGGGGACAATGCACCCTGTAATAGTCACTGATGTACAGTACATACCGCACCCTGGAGATTACTGCTTCATCATTGCAGGGTGTCATCTCCAAGCTGGCACTTGAGCTCTGCCTGCTACAGGCCATTCCACCACTCTATCAGGCTGGTGTTTTTGGTGTGTGGCTGTGAGGGAACCTGGTGGGTCCCACAATCATGTGCCCACTGCAGCTCCTTTGCTGGAAAGTGGGTCCCTACATCCAATGTGATGCTATGCGGATTCTGCGTCAGTGGATCAAATGCTCTGTGAGCCTTGGATAATGGAGCTCACTGAGGCTCTGCAAACAGCAAAGGCAAACCCATGCCTGGAATATGTGTCAATTCCAGTCAAGATGAATCACGGCACCTTTGGGGGCACAACGAGTTCAGCACTTTCAGCTTGCCACCAAGTGACTGATTGTTCTCCTCAAAGGATGGTACTACTGGGGACTCAGCATTTGGTCTGTTGTTGGAAGGTTAGACATTCAGCAGAGGCAACAGCTAGATCAGCCCTGGTGAGTGAAAGCAGCATGCTGTTGTGCCCACACAGCCTCCACCCCAGCCCCGTGGTTACTCCATTAAAGAGCCCAAGGTGTCTGTACTAACACAGCAGATGACAGAGGTTAGTGAAAGTCAACTGGCCAAGTCATACCAATTTTGTTCCTTCCTTTGGCCCTCTACTTCGGGTAGCTGCTCCACGTGCATTTACCATATTCTTTAGAGTTCTCTTTATTCCTTAGTAACTAATCTCATTACTAGCAAATAATGCTTTAAACTTTCTCTGTTCAAATTATACAGTTTCTGTTCCCTGACTGACCTATGTCTCATACACTCCTTTAACAGGCCCAGTACCTCTTGACCAGGTTATGTTGTGACTTAAGGGCCAGGAGGGAAGGGGGTGGCAGTTCCTGAAAGAGCATGCATTACTTTTCAAGACAGAAACCTCTTGCATTGCCTTCAAGCTGGGGGGTGGGAGGGGGTGATGCACTGGCCTTTAACAGAGAAGAGTAGCCACTTCTGCAGGTCCCAGAGGTATCTGGGATTGAGGAAGTGAATGCACTAATCCAGATGTCCCCAACCCATATCTCAGGGTCTGGGTGCTCTTCCTGAGCAAGGCCCTGACCCTTAGGCAGCACACCTGCCAGGTCTGAGAATTCAACCTTCTCTGGAGCTCTACAAGTCTTAGGACGGCACTAGGCACTGGGCCTGTGGTTGCAGGTGGTCTCTTTATAGGCTACCAAGGAACCCCTCTAGTAATCTATCACATTTAGCCTTTAATTGCTAATTAATCACCCTCAGCCTTTGTCCTTCTCCAAAGGATCTATTATTCCCACCCACAGCCACCAATTGCATTGTTTCCCACTGCTTTGTACTTTTCAAATGAGGACTGTCCCAGCAGCCTGGGCAGTTGCTTCCACTGGTATGCTAGACCAGCCAACTCTAGCGAAGGTTTTCACTGCACTGCTGCCACTCACATTCCACCTACAACTTGCAATGAAGTCATCAGTGCCAGCCTGCCTGAGGGTGACCAAACTCCAAAACGCCGTGTCAGCTTTCTCAGACTACTCCTGGCACCAACTGAAGCAGATCAGGTTCCCTTGGAACCAGACTGAGCTTCGCCTGCAGGAAATTTACTGGGGGTGCTATTGGGAAGCAGGACTGAGTGAAGAGGAAGCTCAAACGTGATACAGTTGCAACAAAGGCCTCAGTCAATCTCATCTGGATGGCAAAGCACAGCCACACAGTGTGCATGCACACACAAGCTATAATTTTAATCGTGGAAATTATAATCACGGAAACAAATGAACAGAAATATAAGAGGCACATACTAAGCTGTTAACGTGGGTTAGCAATAAGGGAAGAGGGCTCAACAAAGAAGAAAAACCCTGAACTAAGAAAACAATGTATATCTGAATCCTTTCACTACGTTTGTGTATGCAAAAAAAAAATTTTTTTTTACGGACTTCATGTTTTTGGTTGTTTTTTCTTTTTTTAAAAAATACCTTTTTAGTAGAAAAGACCCCCTAAAAATGTTGAGGAAAACATTTACAACATATATATTAAAACAGTAAAATCCTCCATATATTTATGTTTGTAGAAAGCTCTTACAAAACAGTACAAGTTGAATACACATGAGCCCACCTGTGAGAACAAAGATAACTCCTTACCCTTCAAAGAGCTCAAAACATACCAAGAGTTCAAGCATTATACAAATACCAAAAACTACTTCACAGTAAGTTCCACAAGTGGAGTTGCAAATAAATCAAATGCAGTTTACTTGCAATAAGGCACTCTTGTAATGCGAGAACTATCACTGCATTTGAGCAGAGCCCTGTAAAATGCTGATTTCACCACTCAGCGTTCTGAGTGAAGGAGAGAAAAAGTAGATGATGAAGTTGGAAAATGTCCCATGTCTGGAAGTTACAGTCAAATGTGAAAGGGGCATGAAGTACGAGAGAGAATGTGGTAGGATGTAAGACTAAAAAGGGCAGGCAGGGGCCAGGTCACCCTGTAGGAATACGTGGGAATGTTTCTGTAGATAAATCTTGCAGAAGCAAGCACAAGAGCTGAGCTAATTCTAGCAACGGTGCAAAGGCAGGACCAAAGTGGCACTAAAGTGAAGGCAAACAGCAATCAAACTACTGCAAAAATCCAAAAGAGAAGAAATGAAGGCCTGAATTAGGGTAGTGGGAATGCAAATCTAACACCTGGCAGAGTTTGCTAAGTGACTGGACGTAAGGATTTTATTTGATAGAAATAAAAATAATACACAATGTTTATCCATATACTCTTGACTAGAATGAATATAATCAAAACAGATCCATTTTCTCATTTAGTTTTTGTTATCTGTCCTTGAAATCGCAAAGACTTCCACATTAATGAGCTGGATATTTACCTTTATGCGTCTCAAACTTGTATTAATTTGTAATGTCTGTAAAAATGTTTTTATTTTACTGGAAAACACTATATTCACCTCTAAGCTCTATAAAGTTAAAATAAAACAGAATTTGGATAAATGTGTACTGGAAAATGTTATTTGATTTCTATTGGTACTTAAAACAAAGAGACATATTCTAATAAATATGTACTTAATCATATGCATAATCCTATACATGGCACCAGTTAAGTCGGATGAATCCAATTCTGAATCTAGTTTAAAGGTGCATGAGTTAGGGTAAAAAGCTAAGCTTACAGTCATAAAAGACCCAACAATACAACGGAAGAAAGAAGAAAAAGTAGTTTATTTCTTTCTCATGTTCTGAGGCGAGTGGTCTCAGCTGGTGGTGCATTAGTTTCATGAAGTCACTCTGGGACCCAGGTTCCTTCTGGCATGGTGTTCCACAATCCTCTAGGACGCTGTTATCATTTGCAGGGTAGGAAAGGAATCATTTCAGGTTCCAAGTGGAGGGAAGAAAAGAGGCCAGCTAGGTAGCGAGTTGGAGTCTTTGGGTCTACCCAGGAAATGGCACACACCACCTGACAGCACAACCCACTAACGGGAACCCGTCACTTGGTCACACCTAACTGCAGAGACTGAGCCATGTAGTCTGATCGTGTGCCTCAGAAGGGAAGGACAGACCCTGGTGTGGCGGACAAATCATCTCTGCCCAAAAAGCCTTTGGAACACACGAAATGCCCATGATTAGAAAGTGGGAAGTGGCTGACACAAAAAGTCAGGATACCTTTGAGCAGGGAGAAGGCTTTAATTAAGAAGGAAATTTTGAGGTGTTGGCAATCTAAGTGGTAGTTACATAGATGTCCTCTTTATATTAATTCATTAAGTTGTATTTTAAGTTTTTGCAGCTTCTGTTTTTTCACAGCAAAGGGTTTTTAAGTAAAGATTGATCTTGCTGCACAAAGATATACACAGTCCCATCCTTAGATTTCTATATCGAGATAGCTCAGTCAGTCTAGCAGATCAGAAAATTAGACCCCAAAGTGACATTTAACATTGTCTGATTTTACCTAATAAGTGTTTGTAAAAGCAAATATTTGTAATTTATTTCCACTGATTTCTGAGTTCAATTTTTGACATTTGGTATGAAATGGGCTTTCAGAAATGAAACAATAATTTATAATATTTTACTTATCAAGAAATAAGAATTTGACATAACAACAGCTCAGCATATGACAAGAGTCCAGGAATCAATTAGGTCTTAGGTCCAGCATCACTCATCAATAATCCACCAACACTTTAATTCAGATTCAAATGAAGTAAGAATAAAACTGGTGAAACACTGTAGTAGACAGACTCTAAGACAGTCTCACGACCCCACCTCCTAGTATTCACACCCTGTGTAACTCCCTCTTCTTGAGTGTGGATGGGACCTAGTGACTCACTTCTAACCAATGGAACACAGCAAAGGTGACAGGATGTTTGTGATTACCTAAGACTATGTCAGTCTTGCTAGGGACACTCTCTTGCTGGCTTTGCAAAAGCAAGCTGTCTATGAAGGGAACTACATGGAAAGGAACTGAGAGTGGCCTAACAGTCAGCGAGAAACTGAGGCCTTCAGTCCAAGAGCCTGCAAGGAACTGCATTCTGCTAACAACCATGCGAGCTTGGAATGAATGCTCCCCCATTCGAGCCTCAGATGAGATTTCAGCCCTAAGTGACACCTGCACTACAGCCCGGCAGAGGAGCCAACTAAGCTGTGCCTGGGCTCCTGAGCCACAGAAACTGTAAGATAACAAATGTGTGTTAAGTCACCAAGTTTATGGTAACAGGGTCACGCAGCAATAGATAACACAGAATTCTTACGAGAAGTCCACTACTTTTCCAAATCCAAGAACACATGACAGAAAAGTAATACCTTATCTTTTTCCATTATCTCCTCAATAAATTTACGTAAACTAGGATTTTTACAGGGTATCTAGGAGCATGACAAGAGAGTTCAGGAGATGGGCTGACAGCCATAAATTTTTCTCAACAGAGACTCACATTATACCTATCAGAAGTATTTCACTATTCTTATCAGTTTTTGAAGGGAAGTATATTTCCACCTCTGTCAAGTGCACACTGCTCTTTTATTTTAGAAAGCAAGTACACAGAATAAGGAAAAAGCTCTCTGATGTTTAAATATTTACCTTTCTTCACTATTCCCCCCCACCACCATTCCCCCTAAAATACTATTAATTGCTATGTACGTGGTCCACATCCAAAAATCCATACCAGTTCCTGACTGACTTCTACAGTAAAGATGTACACATGCAAAAGATGCCTGAATATGAATAGATCAAAATATTAAGTAGTACTATCTCTTAATCAAGTAACTGCATTTATAACAGCTTTTGCACAATTTGTCAATACTCTCAATTATTTCATCTCAATATAATTACTGAGTTACATCTCACTCACTTATAACTTACTCTGTAGAAAAGAAACAAACAACAAATTATTCACCCAGACTTAGAAATCTAAAATAAAAACTGCTTTGTTAGCCAAAAAAAAATTGGTGTTCCAAACACTTCAGCCACAGTTGTGAGGATGTGTCACTGCTTTTTCTGTTAGACCAGGTCATAAACATATACACACAGATCTACTGATCTTTAACACCTAAGAGTTCATATGTTTCTATGGCAGTATAACACATACTGTCAAAACACTTCTCTTGTCGACAACACACAATAAGCAAATACTATGTCCGGGTTCAACGACTCAAGAGCTAAGGTTGAGGCAAGAGGCACTGTGAAAGAGCCCATCTCTTTTGAGGTGACTTAAATAGCTCATCCAGATTCTAAGGGAATGTATGACAGAAATTCCTGGAATGAGGAAGAGAGTGTTACATTTTTAAAGCGGTAAGAGCTAAGAGAAAATGAAATTTGGTGAGCAGAAACTCAGTCATCATTGAATGGTGTAAAGTGAGGAGAAGACGGGCTCCAATCATTCAGAGGCAGGAACTTCCCTACACAATATAAAGTTCTATAGAATAATTTTGCTACATTTCATTTCCAAACAGTCTTTTTTGTGTGTATGTGAGGAAGACTGGCCCTGAACTAATATCTGTGCCAATCTTCCTCTATTTTATGTGAGATGCCACCACAGTGTGACTTGACAAGGGGTCCTAGGTCCGTGCCTGGGAGCCGAACCTGCAAACCCCAGGCCATGGAAGCAGAGCATGCAAACTTAACCACTGCACCACCAGGCCAGCCTGTCAAACCTTAGTCTTAAGAATAATTAACATTTGAGGGGCCGGCCCGGTGGCACAGCAGTTAAGTGCATGCGTTCCGTTTTGGTGGCCTGGGGTTCATTGGTTCGCATCCCGGGTGCAGACATGGCACTGCTTGGCAAGCCATGTTGTGGCAGGCGTCCCACAAGTAAAGTAGAGGAAGATGGGCATGGATGTTAGCTCAGGGCCAGTCTTCCTCAGCAAAAAGAGGAGGATAGGCAGCAGATGCTAGCTCAGGGCGCATCTGCCTCAAAATAAATAAATAAATAATGAACATTTGAGGTAACAAAAGATAGAAAAGTTCTTAAAAATTACTCACTCTTTTCACTCTCTCTCCAATTCTTAGACTCCACTAAATCACCTGAATGCATAGCAGACATAATCTTCTGAGCAACAGTGGAGAGTGGTATCTTAGAGAGATCAAAGCCTACAAATGCCTCATAATTTTCCATTTTCATAAAATCCTAAACATAAGATAAACACCCATATATTAATTTTGTAAGTTTAAAATAAGAAATGATTAAGTTATTTGAAAAATTTTATGTACTGAGACTTTCATAAAAACTACTGTATTAACCACCACATGAAATAGGTATCAGTCGTCCCCATAAAACAGGTAGGATAGCAAAAATCAAAAGCGGTTAGAGGCTCAATCGGGGTATTACAGTAAACAGGTAACAAAGTAAAGCACATATTTTCTAGTTAACCCATTTTGAAGCAAGCAACCTACTCAAATACTTCCTGAGGTTTGAAACAAATATAATCTTCAAATATACAAATCTAATAACGTAAAAATGTTTCACTGACTGGGTAATTATGGCAGACACAATCTGACATTCTTTCACTTTTACTACTCAGCTATACTGACGCTCTGGGCTGAGTGGGTGAAGGTCTGGAAGGGATAGTACAAATCAAGTAGCTGGTTATACATCTAACATCTTTGGCACTAATCTAAACAGAATTTGTGGTTCTGTGAGCCAGGAAACCAGGTGACATATTTTTCCACGTTACTGGAGAAAAGAAAAACTTTACGTAAATTCTCTATCCCAAGGTAGAACAGGAAAATCAGTCACCCATGAGGAGCTAATATCAAAATCTTAAACAAAATTTATTGCTACCAATTTTTCAAGTATATTAAGACCTAGTTAATAAACATTTTTTAAATAATGTACATGTACAATAATCGGCAAAACATTTTTGCTCAATGGATTACAAAAATTATCAGCTCTCAGCTGTCACCTAAGCATACCCATTTTCTGATGGCTATAGCTAAAAAATCCCATAAAGACCACCTAAAATGTATAGTTTTTACACTGGCATTCTATATTCTTGGAGCAGGAATATTCTTGAAGGTAATATCTATATCTTCTCTTTTCTCTATAAAGCTTACATGGTATCTAACATAGGCCATGTAGAAGTCAAGCACTCAAGAAGCATTTGATGTAAGTAACTGTTAAGGTACTTCAAATTATTTTATACCAAGTCTTAAAATAACTTCTAATTGTCCAAATACTACATTTGTATCCCAACTAATACAATCTAACACTTAAGCATTTTTACTCCAAAGAAACTGACTAAATGAGCATTATAAATCCTTTGAGCAACCATTTCTATGGAATTTTGAAATTTCATTAAAAGCCATTCATGATGTATGAGTTACAATGAAGTCAAGCACGTTGAGATCTGTTTTGAAGAAATTTTGAGTCCCCAGGACCCAGCTTCTAAAGTGAACAATGGCCAGTGGAGACGACGTTCCTTGTGATGTAAGTAGGAACATTAAAGGAGTCTGTCTATAGCAAGGAATTATGGGGGAATAGTCTGAGTCACAGAATTTTACTTTAGTCAAATATGAGGAGACTTGGCTATCCATATACTAACATGTCAATTCACAGTTCCACAAATTTTCAAAATATTTAACAGGAGAAAATTTATTTCAAAAAAAATAGTAAAAGAGAGATATAACTAACTTTATTTAAAAATGTCTGCATTATTTAATAATGCTTTTTCCCTGTAAGTAAGAAGTCACCAGGATTAAGTATCACCAGGCAAATGTTCAAGTCATAAAAAGCACTAGCACTATGAACAAACATTATATAAGGAAACCCACAAATTGATATAATACTTCAATTCATTAAATGAAATGTTCCATTGACTTCAAACTTAAAATTTTAGTAGTGTTTATTCTCTTAATACATAAAACATTAAAACATAGCATATGTGGTAAGGACTCAGTTTTTAGTAATTTTCAATCTTGGAGACCAACAGCCTTAATCTTTGATTGGTTTTCTAAATTCTCCACGATATCTTTCAGATAATCTTCATCTTTTAAAAAATAAACATATAATTCTCTTTCCATTTGATGCAATTTATTAGATGCCAAAATTTTTCTTTTTGTCTTCACATCAGTAAGAATATCAGTAAGGAGATGATTTAGCTTATTCAGTTGAGATTCAACTTGATGAAACTGCTCCATTAACTCCTAAAAAGAAAATAAAAATGCTTTTAATGCAAGAGCTCTATTTGCAACACCAATTATAATTTAAAGTGTAATTTACAGGGAAAGAATCTAAATGATTTAAAAATTATTCCCACAATTCTAACAATAAATGAATCTCAATTAATTCATAGTAGGTTTAATATAAATTCCACATAACATCAATTCCAACAACTTCTGATAGGCAATTTTACGTGACTCAAAGCAAACTGAAGAGTACCTGATATGTAAATTGTTGTGCATATTCATACATTCAACAAATATTACTAAATGCCTACCATGTGCCAAGCGCTGTTTCAGAGACTACAAATACAAGAACACACACTATCTCCTTCATGGAACTTACATTCTGCTTAATCAATCAAACTTTGTTTTACCCTAATCTTTGTTTACTCTAGACATAGGCAGTACTGAGAAAGCCTTAAAATGAAGCAATTACCAATAAAAAAGAATTACCTCAACAAAGATCCTCATTTTTCTTTTTCACATTGTTATAGAAGATAAAATTACACATGACATTCAACAATCTTGACTTATCATGTAATTCTCCTGTTCAAGAACCTAGACATACTGAACCTTTCACACTTAAATTGAAATTCCTTACTTCCTAACATTAAAAGTAGTTTATTAACAAGTTTCCATGGCTTTCTTATCACATACTCTACTCCTATAAATTTTCAACCAGTATTATCAAAAAGGTTCTCAGAAAATCTGTAGCTTTAACTACCTCAACCTTCCACAGCTTCTCAGTGTGGTCCATGAGCATGGTAAATACCTAGGATGCTCATTATGAATATAAATTCCTGTATCTCACTCCACACTAAATTACTCAAACTCTGTAACAGGGCCAGGAAGCTATATTTCAACAGGCTCCGGTGATTCTAATGTACAAATTCAAGAATGTCAGTTTAACATGTGTCATAAATGCCAGTTCCAGGGAGCAGTACTTCTTAAACTACATTTTTAAAAAAATCCACTAATAGGGGGCTGGACCCGTGGCCGAGTGGTTAAGTTCGCGCGCTCCACTGCAGGCGGCCCAGTGTTCTGTTGGTTCAAATCCTGGGCACGGACATGGCACTGCTCATCAAACCACGCTGAGGCAGTGTCCCACATACCACAACTAGAAGAACCCACAATGAAGAATATACAACTATGTACCGGGGGGCTTTGGGGAGAAAAAGGAAAAAATAAAATCTTTAAAAAAAAATCCACTAATATCTACATTAAGTGATCTCTCTTTGAGGAAAAACTTGGTAAACTTGAATATAATGAGAAACAACAATCTCACCTTTAATTTCCATACTGAAGATCTTAACAGTTGCTAAAATACTACTCATGTAGATATTTAAAAATGTTCAACTTCATTAATAATAAAAATACAAGTTAAAATTGATACGGAGGGGCTGGCCCAACAGCATAGTGGTTAAGTTCGCATGCTCTGCTTCGGCAGCCCAGGGTTCATGGGTTCGGATCCTGGGTGCGGACCTACACACCACTCATCAAGCCATGCTGTGGCAGTGACTCCACATACAAAACAGAGGATAGACTGGCACAGATGTTAGCTCAGGGACAATCTTCCTCAAGCAAAAAGAGGAAGATTGGCAATAGATGCTAGCTCAGGGCCAAACTTCCTCAAGCAAAAGGAGGAAGATTGGCAATAGATGCTAGCTCAGGGCCAAACTTCCTCACCAAAAAAAAAACTGACATGGATGGGATTTTATACCTCATGGCTAGGGAAAAACATTAAATAATGATATCTAATAAGATTATAGTGGGGCTGGCCCCGTGGCCAAGTGGTTAAGTTCGCACGCTCCGCTGCAGGCGGCCCAGTGTTTCATCGGTTCGAATCCTGGGTGCGGACATGGCACTTCTCATCGAACCACGCTGAGGCAGCGTCCCACATGCCACAACTAGAAGGACCCACAACGAAGAATATACAACTACGTACCAGGGGGCTTTGGGGAAAAAAGGAATAAAATAAAATCTTTGGAAAAAAAAAAGATTATAGTGAAATCTTCATATTTTAGTGATTCAAAGACGCAATCTTTCACATTTTAACATATCTGAAATCAATATGCATTTTATAATCAAGAGCATCATGTGATCGTTATTGACCAGACACTCATTAGAAATGCTTTATCGCCAACATTTAAAAAGAGTTTTCTTTTATTGTAGTAAGAACATTTAACATGTGATCTCCCATCCTAACAGATTTTTAAGAGTACAATACAGGATTATTGACTACAGGCACAATATTGCACAGCAGATCTCTAGAACTTCTTCATCATGCATAACTGACACTTTATACCTGTTAACAACTCCCCATTTCTCCCTCCCCAGTTCATGGGAACAACCATTCTAGTCTCTGCTCTACAAGTCTGACTAAAATATTTCACATAAGCGGAATCATGCATTATTTGTCCTAGTGACTGGCTTATTTCACTTAGCATAATTTCCTCAAGGTTCATCCATGTTTTCTATAGTTTCCTATATTTCAGGATTTCTTTTTTTTTTAAGCTGAATAATATTCCATTGTATGCATATACTACATTTTCTTTATCCATTCCTCCACTGATGGACATTTACGTTGTTTCCACATCTTGGCTATCATGAGTAGTGCTGCAATGTATGTGGGAGTGCTAATATTTCTTTGAGATCCTGATTTCTTTTATTTAAATATCCAGAAGTGGGATTACTGGATCACATGGTAGTTCTACTTTTTAATTTTTTGAGGAACCTTCATACTGTTTTCCACAGCAGCTGCACCAGTTTTCATTCCCACCAACAGTGCACAAGAGTTCTAATTTCTCCACATCCTCATCGACACTTGCTGTCTTTGTTTTTTTGAAAATAGCCATTCTAACAGGTGTAAGATGATGTATCTCACTGTGGCTTTGATTTGCATTTCCCTAATAATTAGTGACATTGAGCAACTATTCATATACCTGTTGGCCATTGGTATGTCTTCTTTGGAGAAATGTCTATTCAAGTCTTTAGCCCATTTTTTAACTGGGTTAATAATTTTTTTTATATCACCAACATTCTTGATGTACAGTGTGGAAAAACACAGACAACAACTTTGAGTCAAATAATAAAGAATTGGACACAGTGTGAAACTTCAGAAATACCCTAACCATTTTATGTTTTTCTTTTTAATATATATTCAAAATCTATGTCTACCTACCCCTAAAATTATCTTCTAATAAGCAATATAACTTCTAATAAATATGAAATAAAAATTCTAAATAAAAAAGTATTCTGTCAGTTTAGCTGAAAGTTTTTTCTTTCTTAGCAATTCATAAAATGACGATGTAACATATGATCAGAGGTGTCTAGTAGACATTTAAATAGTGCTGTAGCATTGTAAACATGTATGACTCCTTTCAAAAGCAATATGGCAGTATCAAAGGCCCCCCTAAAAAATGTGTATACCCAAGGAATCCAATAATCCTACTTTCACGAATTCATCCAAATGAAAGTATCCAATGAAAATAAGCTATAGAAGCAAGATATACATGATGTTTTTCAAGAACAAACAAAAGAAAAAAATGAAGACTATCAAAATATCCAACAATGGTGGACTGGTTACATAAATTATGACAGTAATTAAATTAATACACTGTAACATTAGGGGCCGGCCTGGTGGCACAGTGATTAAGTTCACATGTTCCGCTTCTCAGCGGCCTGGGGTTCGCCAGTTCAGATCCCGGGTGCGGACATGGCACGTCTTGGCAAACGCCATGCTGTGGTAGGCGTCCCACATACAAAGTGGAGGAAGATGGGCATGGTGTTAGCTCAGGGCCAGTCTTCTTCAACAAAAAGAGGAGGTCTGGCAGCAGTTAGCTCAGGGCTAATCTTCCTCAAAAAAAACCAACCAAATAAATGAAAAATATACTGTAACATTAAAAATTAAGAAAATTATTTAGAGTAAAAATGTTTATTTCATAATGCTAAGTAAAAAGAATTAAAAAAGATACATAAGTCGGGGCTGGCCCCGTGGCCGAGTGGTTAAGTTCGTGCACTCCCCTGCAGGCGGCCCAGTGTTTCGTTAGCTGGAATCCTGGGCGCGGACATGGCACTGCTCATCAGACCACGCTGAGGCAGCGTCCCACATGCCACAACTAGAAGAACCCACAACGAAGAATACACAACTATGTACCGGGGGGCTTTGGGGAGAAAAAGGAAAAAATAAAATCTTTTTAAAAAAATAAAAAATAAAAAAAGATACATAAGTAAAGGTAAAAAGCATATACCTTGCAAATACTAACCAAAAGAAAGATGATATAGAAATATTAATATCAGACAAAAGAATATTAAGACAAAAAGCATAATAGGAATAGAGAGGGTCATTATGTAATGCCAAATGGTTCAATTCACTGCAATTTAAATGCACCAGGATAATAATTCACTGCAATTTTAAACTTGGATACAACTCATAAAATAGACTCAAACATAAAAAACTGATAGAACTACAAGGAGAAATTTTCAAATTCACCATCACAGGAGCTTTTTACACAATTATCTAATAGATAAGAGAAATGCAAATTAAAGCCCCAATGAAATGCTATTTTACATCGATAGATTAAGAGAAACTTATAAATCAGACAATGCTTTGTGATGAAAAGGAAGTGGATAGATAGCATCTCTTAGACACTGCTGGTATATGATATAACCACTCTGAAAAACAATTTGATATACCATGCAAAATTGAAGCTGTGATCCAGCAATTCCAAGCCTGAGAGTGTGTGTGCATACATGTGCATGCCCAACTATGAGACATGCAACAAGACTATCCATAGCAGTATGATTACAATAGCAAATGCTGGAAATAACCTAAATATTGTCAACAGAACAGATTATTAAAATGTGGAATTTCATATAATGGAATACTAACTATATAAAAGAGAAAACTAAGAATGAGTTACAGCTTTACATATATCAACACGGATGAATCTCAAAATCAAAATATTAAGAAGTTACAAAAGAATATATCCAATATAACACCATGTATATAAAGTTCTAAAACATACAAAACTAAACAATATACAGTCTAGAAATAGATATGTGTAATAGAATTATAAATAAAAGCAAGCAAATTATAAAATTAAACATAGTAGTTAGCCCTTGAAGACGGGAGGGGAATGCTATTAGGAGGGGCATGCTATCACTAAGTGTATACAGAGGATTTTAAGGATTTTTTTTAGGAAGATTAGCCCTGAGCTAATATCTGCTGCCAATCCTCCCCTTTCTGCTGAGGAAGACTGGCCCCGAGCTAACATCTATGCCCAACTTCTTCTACTTTATATGTGGAATGCCTACCACAGCGTGGCTTGATAAGCAGTGCCATGTCCTCACCCAGGATCCGAGGCAGTGAACTCCGGCCCGCCGAAGTGGAACATGCGTACTTAACCACTGTGCCACGGGGCCAGCCCCAGTTTTAAGGATTTTAAAGACAGAAGGGCAATCCTCTATTTGCTAAGATAGGTGAAAAAAATTAAGTGGTGGTTTTATTATTTTTTAAAAATTCTTAGCATAAACATTACATACCCTTTTAGTCTGAAATAGTTCATAAATTTTTAAAATTTCATGTACACTGATCAAAACTACCTGAGAAATATATGTGAACAAAAACTACAAGATATAAAAAAATAAATTCTATATTAGAGCAATAGGATTTGGGGCAATATTTTCTCATGTTAACATTTTCTTTAATATCTTTTACAAGGAACATTTTTAAAAGCATTTTTAATTACTATGGCAAGCACCCACCTGATCAGTAAGCAAAAGCTGATTTCCTCCTTGATACAAAGCATCACAAAGCATGTCCACATCATTATTCAGTTTGGACAGAAAGAAAGAATGTTCTTGAGCAGATACTACCAACTGATCTTGTACTAAAGAAACATCCTGTTTTAATTTCTCAGCCACTTCCTCCAGGTTTTCATGGGTTATAAACAATTCTTTTTTCTTATTCTCTCCTTCTAAAAGTTGATAAAGCCTAAAACGTGAAAGTAAAAATTATAGGAAAAAATTCTCAAGTCAGTACAGTTTTCAAAATTACAATCCACTGTATTGGGGCATCTTTGAGGATAGCTAAAAACTTAAAACTATTAATCTGTCAGCTGCTAAATCAAGCAACTGGAAACATTCCAACCAAAATACTATCTCATTACAGAAATACATATTCTAACTATTTTTGAATTTCCAGTTTTCCCATCTCCCAAGTTTTAGTTACAAAATTGTTTTTTACTTTAACTGCCATTAGCCTACTTCAAACAAAGTACATTTCAAAGGTATCTCCCAAGAAAACACTTCTTTCACAGAATACAACTATGATGTAGTAGAAACAGAAATGAACTTGAAACAGAAGACCCAGGTCTGAATTCTGGCTGTTAGGTGAAACCTAGGTTATTAACCTCTGAAATTTAATTTCCACATCTTAATAACCCACCTATTTTAAAGGAGTGTGGTAGATTTAAAAGAAAAAAATTGAAAATATAAACAATGTAAAATGTAAAAAAACTAAACAATAAAGAGCTACATAAATAGTTACAGTAAACTTGCTACTCCAGTCTTGTCCATATTTGGTTGATAAATTAAACTCATGATGAGCGATGAGGCCACTTTAATACTTCAAATATTAATGACAGAAAAATCCTACATGGCAAATGGAAAAATGTGAGGCAGCACCTTCTACACATACCTGACAAAAAGGGTCTACTCTTTTTCTTATAATTCAAAAGTATATATATATTTATATTGTTTTAATTACATGGACAAGTTGCAACAGATTTCATAAAACTGGTTCAAGCCCAAGGCTGCCAATTTCGTTCTTGTGGGATGTGACTACACAATTCCAGGGGGCACCATTCACATAGATCCTGATGTCAATGCGACCCTCTGAAACTGTGCAATGAGGCAGCCCTATCCATGCCCCTCATTTCATTAATAATAAAAGGATTAGATGATTTTCCTCTAGTCCTAGAGGAAAACCATGAGTAGGATCCAGATTTTTGAGGCTTTTGACTACTTTAGCCCTGTCATTTCAGTATCCCCATACCATCAATTGCTTAGACATCCAGAAAAGGTTGGGAGCTAGCATTCATTCTCATTCATTCACCCGACTAAACACTGAAATGAATTCTCCTCTCCTCTCTATTGCCACCTTCTCCAAATGCAGTCAATTCTCTGCCCAGCAATACCTAGCTACTACACACCAAGCTGTATTCAAACTTTCGGCTGTAAACTCCTACCACAAATGTAAAATCCTGTAAAATGCTGCCTAAAGGTGAATAAGACCTTGTGTATATTCATTCCTCTGACCCATCCTCAGATCTAAAGTAGCTACTTCCAGATTTAACGTGAATGGAAAAGAGTGCAAGAAATTAAAAAGGAAAAAAGAGGCATGTAAAAGAAAAGTGGAAGAACAGAAAGGCCAAAATTGGAGTGCAAAGATTTTCTTTAAACTTCCACAATTTTAGTTCAAACTCGTCTCTTGTATTTTACAAAATACAAAAGGAAAAATACTCACTAAAGAAACAATGAAGCATACCTATGAGAAGAAGAATCCTTGGTATCAATGGTATTCCTTGGATTTTTCTGCTGAGATATTGATGGGTCTGTTAGCATTTCTAATCGCTGGTGGAGCATCATATTGCTTTGACTAAGTTCTTGAACCAAATTTTCAAGTTGACGATATACGTCCCAATGCTTTCTTAATTCAATTTCATATGATAACTGGAGAAGTTCAAATGATGCCTTTTGTTTTATCAACTGATTTAAAACTAACTCTTGTCTTGCTGTATAATAGTCTTGCTTAGCAATCTGCAGATCAAAATCTCCCTTTACAACTGGCATATTCAATAACTGGGCATTCTCTTTTACCACAGCAGGCAAACTTTTGTCTTTTATACGAGCAATTTGTTCTTCAAGTTTCAGAATCTCACTTTTCAAACTAGAAACTTCAGCATCCAAATTATCTTTGCCAAGAGCCTACACAAAGAAAGCAATCACATTTCAACCTCCTGTATAAAATTATTTTCACTTTCCATTTTAGATTATCAGATAATATGCTCACTAATAAAAACCAACTTCATATTAGCAAAAGCCAAAACCTCAGTTTAAAAAGGAAAAGTGTAGACTGAGCCAAGGGTAAAGACAGTGTGAAGTGCTAAATTTTAATGCTATTAGTACAAGATATATACAGTAAAGGCTACCAAAACAGAGATTTTATCATGCTTGTCTTACTCAAAAAAAATTATTAGCACACTACTCACTGAATGCAAATGTACGCTATTTAAGTTTTTCTTAAAGTTATCTCAGTAGCTGATTTTAGCACTTCTAAGCAATGATAGGACTTCTTCACACACTTATGAGGTTCATGTCAGTTACAGTAACTAACTTGGTGCTGGTATTCAGTTTCAGAAAAGCTGTATTTTTACTCAACTATCTAGCAGTTCAGTTACCAAGAAACAAGCTTTCCCAGAGCGCAGATGGATATTCTGCAATACATCTTATACATTCTCAACAAAGAATCAGGTTTCTGAACTGGATCTCTGACTTCCTTAGCACCATGCTCTGGCCAGAGCAAACAAGGCAGAATACCCATAACACAGCAATGAGGCTCTTTACCCACACATCATTAAAAAGGAAATTTCAGTGTCATCTATATCTGAACCAACATAAATTTCAAATTCAGAATGTGAAAGTATTTCTGTTTAAAATTAGCTAGATAATGTGGTTGAGGTTACAATCATTATATCTGCCCTCCACTTACATGAGGATCTGTTTTCATGAAACACATCACAGCTAAGCACTGAACAAACAGAAAACAAGCAATGTAATTACTTATTATATCCCTTTCTAAAGTTCTTTAATCTCAATATTGCATCCTCCATTACTAAGAATTACAATATGAATCCAGTCTCATTTCTTATGTTTACCTTGCTAGTGCGGCTGTGAAGATTCTCCTCTGCCCACTTTATACTTGACTTCATCCTCAAATTACTTGCTTTCAAGTGAATTAACTGATGTTGAGCACAAATGTATGCTAGCTGCAGCCTTGCCATCTCTAGCCGTCTCTCCTCAAGGATTTCTTGATTATCACAAATAGATGGTGATTGTATATCCAAAAGTTGAAAGTTTTCTTCATTTGAACTTTCAACTACTTCATGTATACCCTGAAAGAACTGTTTTTTGGTATACAAGGTCAATGCTGCTGTGCTTTGCTCTTCCTGGCTGAGATATTTTTCCAAGGACAACTGAGATAAAAACACCAGAGGATTTGTCCCTTGACCCAAATTAGAATGTCTGAAGAACATCATCAATTTTGTAACTCCATCAGTAAGAGCGTGAAGTTCATTACTGATCTTAGTACTCACAGCATTAAGAATCCCTTGACTCTGCTTCAGCTTTTTAGAGGCTGCTGCTTCTCTAGCATTTAACCTCAGAGATTTGTGGCTAGTTACCGAAGCCATCAACTGGCATTTATTACGTCGCTGAATTTTCAGGTTCTTTAATTTCTGCAGAGTTTGGATCTCATCCTCTAATTTGTCTAGCTCTTTGTCATCCAGGATAGGTGTCTTCAAATCAGAAGTTTTACAGGTTTTAAGAACTTCATCCAATGCTGCTCCCTCTAGGATGGGCTTGCCTGATTGCTGAAGAACGCTAAAAGCTTCCAATTCTTCTTCACACAATACGTTCTGTTCATTCACATTCCCACAAAACCACTTCAAAAACGATTCATCCTCAGCCGTCTCAAACAACCAGTCAAAATCTTCCCCATTAAGAATATCAGCTTTGGGATAATTAATTTTTTTTAATGTGTCCACAAACTCTTTTCCACAACTCATGGTTTACCCAAATTTTCTGTAACTGGTATGGGTTTACGGTGTTAAGATTTAGAAAATAAATATACAAACAAAACTAATTTTATGTTAAGTCCAGAGAGAAGGAGAAAAAATATTTCTAGAATCTATAATGAGATCTCCTAGGGGAGGAAAAAAACAAGTATTAGACCACAAAGAAGGCGACTATATTTTTAAAACGATGATACAAATAAATGTCACATGATATTTGGGAACCGTCTAACCCAGAGACAGCTGCAGCTGCAACGTTTGATGAAGATAACAAAATAAACAATTAGGGTATCAGCACACTGCAACAATCATGAAAACCTAATTATCAAGAAAATCTTATTTTTCCCAAAGATAAAATGGTTTAAAATATATATTTTATACAGCAACAGCTCAGTTTTTACTTCAAAATAAATGGATCCAACCAAGTCCAAGCCATCCTGTGGCTGAGCAGCCTCTCTGCCCTGCGTCTCCCAGGAAAACACAAATAAACGTTTACCTCAGGGACCCCATCAGCACCCGCCATTCGCTCAAGAACGCGCGTCCGGACGCGACCAGCCTAGAGCGGAGAAAGCGAGGCGAAGGTTTAAGCACCACCCTCGACGTGAGCAGCACAAACATCTCGGCCCTCTCCCTGCTCAACCACCGCTCCCCCCAAGAATCCGCGACGACGGCGCCGAGCGGACCTCAGCGACGGCGACAAGCCGCACGACCGAGGACACACGTAACGCACTCGGGGCAAGGTCTCCGCCTGTGTTTTGTGCGGTTCACTTAACGACATGGTTGCGCGTTAACAAGATACATCCACAAAAACCACCGAGTCGGCGTCTACACGAGCTGCGCAAATCCCAGCCAGCCGACCGGCCCAGCGGAGCCCCACAGCGCCTCAGGCCCGCGCGGCCCAGCGCCCCGCCCCACAGGGCCCCGCTCTCGCCCGCGCCCCCGCCCCACGGGAGCCCCTGCTCCCACCGGAGACCTGCCCGCCCCCACCGCTGTCTCGCCGGCGCCCCAGACCCCGCGCCCTGCGGACCGCGACTGCGCCGCGCAGACAGCTCCTCGCGAGGCCTGAAAGGAGTCTCCAGGGGCGCCCGGAAAGAAGAGGCAGCCCGGCGACCGGCGCCGCTCCTGCAGCCCCACGCCCCGCGACGCCCAACACCGCGAGCCCGGCGCCGTTCACCTCAGGGAGGTCCGCTCGGGCCCCCTCAAGAACCCGCCGCCGCTCTCCGCGCCTCGCACTGCCTCACGGGAGCGCCGCGACTGCGCACGCGCAGAAGCCGAGGCGGCGGCAGGGGCAGGGGTGCCGCACGCTGACGGTCTGCGCAGGAGCGTTGCAGGAAGAGGCGGGCGGCGGGGGCGGAGTTGAGCAGGCGCTGCTCCGCCCCCAATCTGACGTCCATCTGCAGTAAGCGAGCTGATTGGCTCCCTGCCTCAGGGGCGGGGCCGGAGCGGGGAGGGGTCGTGGGCTGGTTGCCCGGTTACTGGAGTCGGCCTCCAGCCGCAAGTCTGGCGCTCGCGCCCTAAGCGCCCCTGCCCTGCGCTTGGGCCCTCGGCGGGCTCCTCCTCCCAGTTCAGCTTTCACGTGCGTTTAAGTTCTGCCCGCCGCATACCCCGAGTCCCCGTCCTCCAATGGGGCTGTTTTTAAGGGAAAGCCTAGCGGGGGTCAGGAGCACGCACCCGAGCCAGCCCCCGGCCCTGTCGCTCGCCTGCTGCGCGACGCGGCAGTTCTCGGCCCGGTGGCCTCTGCGTCGCATCCTAAAGGGTTTCAATGACCCTCCCCTTCGAGAAGAGGTAGGGGTGAACGAGCTCGTGGATCTAGAGCAATCGGAGCAGTGCCTGGAGGTCTTAGGGTTTAACTGTTACTGCTCCCCTTACTGTCTCTTACAATGAACGTTATTTTGCAAAAAGTACTTGATTCCCAATGCCTCACCTGACCACTAAGCAAAAGCTGACTCCCCCCACAATCCCATTTTCAAAATATAACTTTTAAAAGGTTGAAAATATAATTCACATTAACAAAGAGTGGATACGTGTCAAAGACGGATTTAACTCTAGGTGAAACGCAGTTTCCAAGGAAGATGCCGTGTGTAGTCAATGAAAGAGTGCTGAAATCAGATTGCAAAGTTCGATGCAAATCTGGTTGATGGCCACAGTGCAATGACACCAGACCTTTGGCATTATCATTTATATTGGACAGAATTCATTTGCATATTACTGGACAAAAATCATTTTTTACTTACCAATCTTCTACAAATTAACGTCTAAATGTCCGAGGTTTGGATACCGGTCATTACTACATAGTCAGTACTCCCCCTACCCCCAGCATCAAATGATACTACTGTGGCTTGTGAGACAATGTCCTAGTCTAGTGTGACACTGGAAAGGCAGAAGTCTTTCTGGAGGATTTTTCTTAATCTTTTTAACAGAAAACAGAATGTTCTAAGGCAGATATGAATGAATTTTGAGTTGAAGATATTTCCTATTAATTCTTTATTTCTTCTACTTTTTTATCCTCCTCTTCTAAAAGTCAATAAACTCTAAAAACAAACGGAAAACAGGCATTATAGGGGGAAAAAGTCAAAGCAGTGTGGCCTGAAACCAGGGGGCTGGACCTGGGAGGAGACAGTCTGTCCTGTTGGTGAGCTGGGAGGCCAGCTTAGAGGCCCTGGACCAGAGGGCTCCCTTGGCCCAAGGAGAGAGCAGGGATGGGGTCGGTGTGCAGCATGGGAGGGAGCTGAGCTGGCTTGTGGGGAGGAAGTGGAGGCTGTGCAGGCAGCGCCTTCAAGAAGTTTTGCTGAGGAGGCAAAGATTGAGGGAGAAAGAGAGAAGGGGCAGAATGACAGGAGTTGAGGGGGTGGGAATGCAGAGCTGAGGGGAGGGTTTGGGTTTTGTTTTGTTTTAAGATGAGAGGAACTTGGGGATATTTATAGACTGTGAGGAGGAACTCAGAGGAGACAGAAGTAAAGATGCCAGAAAAAAAAGGGGCTGCTTTATAGAAAGATTCCCAGGGGACAGGGGAGTGAGAACCTGAGCAAACGAGGCCGTTCTAGAAGTCCACTTTTCCTGGTGACTCCTGTGTCGTTTCCTGGGCCCACAAATTCTCCATGTGAGTTTGAATTACTGACTTTAGTTATTTGCTTGAAAGATGTTTGTGAGGCCAAAAAAAAGCCATAAAAATATAAAATAAAAACCACAATGGGATTAGCGCCCACCCCCCCCATCCCCCCCCAAATAAAATGACAAACAAAATAGGTTTAACTATACAGACTTAGAAAGTTTTCTTTGGAAATTTTACTTATTGGGGCATTTCTGCACTTGAGGTTGCATTTGGATTTTAAGAAAGCAAGTATGTTACGCTTACTTCCAGGACAAGCTTTCTCTCCTCCAATCAAAATTCCTTGAGGTTTTGGTGGGGTACTGACAGAGTCAAAAGATAAAGGGAACCCAGGAATGCATCTTCCCTGAGAAAGCCCATGAGGATAGAATGGACTAAACAGAGCTGCGAGCAGCAAGTGTTCTTGTGGTTGACTTTTTGTCCTTTTTTTCTTCCTGTAGGAATCTTTTTTCTCCTATTGATATTGAAAAGTACTTTAGGGGCCCCCCCGGTGGCGCAGCAGTTAAGTTCGCACGTTCCGCTTCTCAGCCGCCTGTGGTTCGCCATTTCGGATACCGGGTGCGGACATGGCACGGCTTGGCAAAAGCCATGCTGTGGTAGGCGTCCCATGTATAGATTAGAGGAAGATGGGCATGGATGTTAGCTCAGGGCCAGTCTTCCTCAGCAGAAAGAGGAGGTCTGGCAGTAGTTAGCTCAGGGCTAATCTTCCTCAAAAAAAAAAAAAGTACTTTAGGTTTTGGATGATGTGTTTTCAGGTATGTTTAAACTGTAGTCTGATATTAAAGATCGTTTGTTTTTAGATGTAGTTTTCAGTGATGGCGGCAGGACTCCATGCTTCAATTAACGGGGAGTGGGGTGTTTCTAAGCAGAGGAGTGACATTCTCAGACACGTGTTAGAAGCTTGATTCTGCAGTAACAAAAGTGACAAAAAGGAGGCAAGCGAGAGATGCAAGGAGGCTCCCATGCATTGGGGAGAGGAGGAGCCAGATGGCTCAGGGTGACATGAGAGCGTGCAGGGGCAGAGAGCCACCTTCAGAACAGAACCCTGGGGCTGATGGACAGAGAGAGCAAGTCTGGATGACTCAGTTTCCAACTGAGCAAGAAAGTGGAACTTTTTTGTATTAATCCTTCCTATTCGGAAGAAAACAGAAGATACCACTTATACTGTGGGGTTGGAGGAGGGTGGGAGTATAGTGAGTTTGTCTTCCATCGCTTTGACATTCATGCGATAAAGGTGAAAACTCAATCCTCAAACTCAGAATCCGGTTGGGGTCAGGAGCTCACCAAGATGGCCAGACAGGAGGTGGGGGTAGTTGTGGGAGGATGCTTAGAGGCCTGTGGGAAGAAGGGGGCAGGGTCTCAAAAAGGGCCTCAGGATGAGCTGAGGAGGCAGAAGGCCAAGAGGAAGGAGACCTTGAGAGCCACTGCGAGCTAAACAGGTAAGTGGCATAATCCCGTTCACATTCTGGAAAGATCCCTGTGGGGCTGGCGTGCATGGGGCCTGGCCTGGTTAGGGACTGGAGGAGAGGAAACAGCATGGAAAGGGCCCTGCAGCTGATTAGCCCAGGTTAGACCAGCACCTGATTTGGAAGGCCATAATCCCTGCAAAAATGTACCAGGAAGGGGTGTAGGAGACTCTGGGCCACCTCCCAGAGGAGGTGGCCCAGCTGAGCTGTGAGCTGAGGAGGGGGTGGTGAGTGCAGAGGGACGGAGGGCAGCAAGGGTGGGAGTAGGCCTAGTTGAAGACATAGGAGCCAATGGGAAGAGAGCAGGCACTTGGGTTAATCCTGGAGGTGCTAGGGGCCAACAAGATCACTGAAGTCATTCTGGCTGCCAAGAAGAGCATGGGGTGGAGGGTTGAGACAGAGGCAGATGTCTCACTTTGGGGGTGCTTGCTGTAATCCAAGCCTGAAATATGGAGATGGAATTTGCAGCAAGAGGGTCTTCACAGAGGACCAGGGTTGGGTCCCAGGCCCACTTGGGGAAGGTGGGTACCTACCCTGAGCCTCAGTTTCCTGTCTGTGAGATGGGCCCAGTGTGAGGACATCAGGGGCTAATTATGTCAGGTGCTTAGCACAGCTCCTGGAGCCCTCATGCCCTCAATAAAAAGTGGTGGGGACTTTAAGTCATAGGAGTATTTGGAATTCAAATGCCCCCATTTATATTCACACCCAAATCCCCAGTGTGGCTAAGAGGCCCCAGGTGCATTCCCAGTAGGAAATCCCTTGTTTTCTAGGGGAGCCCAGGGGGACTCACACAGGTTCAGAGGCCAGAGTACTGCTGCCTGCTTTGGGAGGGAGGAGGAACTCAGATTCCCCTCTGGAGTCCCTGCAGATCCTCTCCCACTGACACCCCAAACCCTGCCTGTGGGTCTCGTTGAGCCACCCCAGTGTGCTGTGGCTGCGTGGCCGTAATGGCAACCCCGAGCTCCCAGGAAAGCCCTGCTCTGGCTAGCCAACTCTTCATCACTTGAGGTGGGCATTTCATCCCCTGGTTGCCCGCTGCGGGGGCACCCTGTTCCACA